ATACTGGCCAGGCACGGTGGCTTACGCCTGTAATCCCAGCACTTTGGGAGGCCAAGGCAGGTGGATCACAGTGTCAGGAGTTCGAGACCAACCTGACCAACGTGGTAAAACCCCGTCTCTACTAAAAATAGAAAAATTAGCTGGGCATGGTGGCAGGCATCTGTAATCCCAGCAATTCAGAAGGCTGAGGCAGGAGAATTGCTTGAACCTGGGAGGCGGAGGTTGCAGTGAGCCGAGATTGCACCACTGCACTCCAACCTGGGCGACAGAACAAGACTGTCTCTTGGGGAGAAAAAAAAAAAGCCAATACCAAGCACTGGTGAGGATGTGGGGAAACTAGATTTCGCATCCATTGCTAGTGGGAATGTAAAATGGTACTGTGGTCAAGTAATTTCAATGGCAACTAATATTTGAATCATAAATAATGTCAAGCTGCTTTATATACTTCTTGTGCTATCAAAAGTTAAACAAGAAGTGAGATCTCCACTTGAAGTCAGGAGTTTGAGACCAGCCTGGGCAAAATGACATCTCTACTAAAAATACAAAAATTAGTCGGGCGTGGTGGTGGGTACTTGTAATCATAGCTACTTGGGAGGCTGAGGCAAGAGAATTGCTGGAACCTGGGAGGCGGAGCTTGCAGTGAGCCAAGATTGCACCACTGCACTCCAGCCTGGGTGACAGCAAAACGCCGTCTCAAAAAAAAAAAAAAAAAAAACAAGTGAGCTCTCCGTTCCAATACAAATTTATAGTGGATGTATTTTTCAAACTGCAGTTATAGTTCTAGCAGTGATTTTTAGACCTCAATGATATACGAAGCCAATTTCCATATTTCAAGATCTATGTATTTTGGAATTAGTGGCAATGGTTGTATAGTATTGGGAATATAATTAATGCCTCTGAATTCTATACACTTAAAAATGGCTAAAATGCCAAATTTTATGTTATATATATTTGTAGAAATAATCCATTTAACTGCGGCATTTAGTAGCTTCCACGTAACTTTCCATTGAAAGTGATTAATCTGCAGTGTAATAACATGATAAAGGTAAATGTCAAGAGAGGACTCTAATAGAATTCTATAATGTCTTCCATGAGATAAAAGGCTCAATTAAAAGTGTATATTCCTGGATTTAGCTCAGTATTTGGCAGTTCCTTTTTTTTTTTTTTTTTTTTTTTTGAGACAGAGTCTTGTTCTGTTGCCCAGGCTGGAGTGCAGTGGTGCAATCTTAACTCACTACAATCTCTGCCTCCGTGGTTCAAGAGATCCTCCTACCTCAGCTTCCCGAGTATCTGGGACTATAGGTGTGTGCCACCATGCCCTGCTAATTTTTGTATTTTTAGTAGAGATGGGGATTCACCATGTTGACCAGGCTGGTCTCAGACTCCTGTCCTAAGGAGTCTGCCTGCCTTGGCCTCCCAAAGTGCTGGGCTTACAGGTGTGAGCCACTGCACCCAGCCCGGCAGTGTACCTTCATGAAGACATTTGCAAAAGTGGAATTGTAGAATCTCATTGCAAATCAGTATTCATAGATGAGTATTTGCAATCAATTTTGATGAAAGGGAAAACTATTTTAAACCCCAGTTAAGTGAAATGTTATTCCCCCATAAAAGAATTTCATTCTTCTCATCAGTAGATGTGTATTATAAAAAATTGTACTCAATTATTATAATCTGAATTGTGTCAACATTTTGTGGAGATTTGTTTTCTCTTGTAATAGGAGTACCTACTTAATATTTTTGATTTTGCCTCTTAGCCCACAAAACTTAAAATATTTACCTCTGGCCTTTTACAGAAATGTTCGTCAACCCCTAGCTTAAAACATTAATTTTTCTTTTTTTCTTCTTTTCTGATATATGCTTTAAAGGCGATGAAAATCTCACTCTGTTCTCTGTTTTAACTGCATCCCAGAGATGCTGATGTATTGCAGTTTCATACTGTTTAGTACAGAATATATTCTGGTTTCCGTTTAACGCATTCTTTTTATTTATTTATTTAAAGAGAGTCTTGTTCTGTTGCCCAGTCTGGAGTGTAGTGGCGAGATCATAGCTCACTGCAGCCTCAAACTCCTGAGCTCAAGCAATCCTCCCACCTCAGCCTCCTGAGAAGTTGAGATTATATAGGTACAAATTGTCACGCCTGTTTGATGTCTTCTTTCACTTACATATTACTTAGAAGTATATTGCATAATTTCTGAACATTCGGAGATTTAAAAAATCTTTGTTACTGAGCTCTAATTAAATCCTAAAGTGGTCAGAGTGCATGCATACATGATGTCAGTCTTGAGATTTGTTGAGGTTTACTTTATAGCCCAGCGTATAGCCCATTTTGGCAGATAGCCAATGTATATTTGAAGTGACATTTTTCAGATCTTTTGTCGTCTTCTGAAGCTTTAGGATATCCAAATAAGGTTGGTCCCTATAACATTCTGTACCTACTCTGTACAGATTCCCAGTTTCTACTCACTTAAAATAGGTGTGCTTGTATTTTTAGTGTATCTTTCTGCTTTCTCAACCCAGGAGTTTTTTTCCTTCCCCTTGTGGTTATATGCAGCTTATAGGTAAGAAAAACCTTTGTAATGTACTTGAATCTCAGCAGTCCTCAGTTCATTATCAAGTGCCATAGTCCCTAACCATTAAATTAAGTGTTGACCTTATACATAAGGACTTTGTATAAGAATGAGTTCGTTTCTTGTTGACTCCTGTCATATTGTACCATTGTTCTCCTCACACTGGTCTGACTTGCCTTTGACAAAAGGAAGGGAGTGTGCTTTGCAGGGTTGTGTGCTTTCCTAATACCAAGAAGTTATCTAAAGATACTTAACTGTGCTGTGAACTAAAGCTATTGTGTTTGATATACCCAGCCATCCAGCTGACCCCTGTATACAAAATTCTACCTGTTCAGTTCTGTTAATGTTTAAGTTGCCTCTGTTCTTTGGTGGGAAAAGAGGTGATGTATAAAAATTGACTGCTTTGTATAAGGCTTGGTGTGTTAGGTGCTAAATCACTTAACTTTTTCTTGATTTTGGGATCTATTCTCCTTGGGTTTTTTTTGTTTTTTGTTTGTTTGTTTTTTCCCTTCTTTTAGAGACAGAGTCTTGCTCTGTCACCCAGGCTGGAGTGCAGTGGTGTGATCATAGCTCATTGCAGCCTCCAACTCCTGGGCTCAAGTGATCCTCCTGCCTCCACCTCCCAAGTAGCTGGTACTACAGGCACACATCACCATGCCCGGCTGATTTTTTTACTTTTTGTAGAGACGGTGTGTTGCTGTGTTGCCCAGGGTGGTCTTGAATTCCTGAGCTCAACCGATCCTCCTGCCGTGGCCTTCCAAAGTGTCAGGATTATAGGTGTGAGCCACCATGCCCAGCTGAGATCTGTTTTTTACTATTTCACAATAATTTCTGGAAATATTTGTAATAATGTGACTTTCACTGCTAAGACAGAAAAGGAAGATAAGAAAATTGAGGAAAATGAAGCTTCTGCTTCTATAACAGGAAAGCATAAACTTTTGAGTTACTTTTAGAGTAAACGGAGATAAGCATGTCTAGATTCTTGACCCACCCTCTTCTGCCACAGTCAGACTTAGAATGCACTTTTGCATGCACTTTTGTTAATCTAATTAATGATCATTTATATGCTTTCTAGTTAGTCAATACGTGTAACTTTATATTTCAGCTCATGAGAGCTTCTGCCCCATGCTGCAGGGAAGTGTATAGCTCTTCAGCTGTGCAGCCAGGATGAGAACTCATGTTCTGTTCTTCCTGCTACTGATGAGACAGGGGAGGCACATGTACATCCAGGCTCTTTCTGCATGGCAGGGCTGTTTAATTAGGGCTGATGGAAGTTTTTGTCATAGAAAATGGGCAATCAGATTTGCGGTTAGTAGTGAAATAATTGACTCTCAATCCATATTGGGAAACAGAAGATAAAACGTTGGTAATAAAAATGTAAATTTTAGAACATAGAACACAAAGAGTGGACCATAAACCGGGAGCTGCAACTCACACCCATAATCCCAACACTTTGGGAGGCCGAGGCAGGCAGATCATGAGGTCAAGAGATCAAGACTGTCCTGGCCAATGTGGTGAAACCCCATCTCTACTAAAAATACAAAAATTAGCTGGGTGTGGTGGTGAACGCCTCTAACCCCCCTACTCGGAGACTGAGTCATGAGAATTGCTTGAACCAGGGAGGCTGAGATTGCAGTGATCCAAGATCACGCCACTGCACTCCAGCCTGGGCAACAGAGCGAGACTCCATCTCAAAAGAAAAAAACAAAAACAAAAACAGGGCCCGGCACAGTGGCTCATGCCTGTAATCCCAGCACTTTGGGAGGCTGAGGCAGGCAGATCACAGGGTTAGGAGTTCAAAACCAGCCTGACCAACATGGCGAAACCCCACCTCTACTAAAAATACAAAAATTTGCCAGGCTGGTGGCACATGCCTGTAATCCCAGCTACTCAGGAGGCAGAGGTAGGAGAATTGCTTGAACGTGGGAGTTGGAGGTTGCAGTGAGCTGAGATCGTGCCACTGCACTCTAGCCTGGGTGACAGAGCGAGACTCTTATCTCAGAAAAACCCAAAAAAACCAAGAGTGGACCCTAATGTAACCTATGGAACTTCAGTTAATAATGAATCTGTATTGGCTCATCAATTGTAACAAAGGTACCACACTAATGGAAGATGTTAATAATAGGAAAAACAGACGGGGAGGATTGGGGAGGTATAGAGGTATATGGGAACACTCTGTACTATCTGATCAGTTTTTCTGTAGAACCTAAGAGATCAAAAAAAGAAAACTGTTTAAAATTTTTAAATATCTAGCTTACTGTTCCCCAGTGGGTTCAAATCATACAAAGTTAGTGTTTAACCTCCTGACCCTTGCTTGGGATTTCTCAGTTAAGATGGGTCCAGTTTGCAGTTTGAGCCTGTTTCATCAGTTCCGTTTGCCTCTTGCCCGTGTGTTAACTGTGCCCTTGCCTTTCTCCCTATCTGCTGGAATAGTTGGAATGCCAAGATGCCTTGGAAACAGCCGCCCGAGCCGAAGGCCTCTCTCTGGATGTCTCCATGCATTCTCAGCTCAGAATCCTGGACGAGGAGCATCCCAAGGGAAAGTACCACCATGGCTTGAGTGCTCTGAAGCCCATCCGGACTACTTCCAAGTAAGACGCCCTGCCGGCTGATGACATGAAGCATCAAAGGCATTTTTTTTTTTTTTTTTTTTTTTTTTTGAGGCGAAGTCTTGCTCTGTCGCCAGGCTGGAGTGCAATGGTACGGTCTCGGCCCACTGCAGTCTCCACCCCCTGGGTTCAAGTGATTCTCCTGCCTCAGCCTCCTGAGTATCTGGGATTACAGGCACCACCAAGCCCAGCTAATTTTTTTGTATTTTTAGTAGAGATGAGGTTTCACCATACTGGCCAGGATGGTCTCAATCTCCTGACCTCATGATCCGCCCACCTTGGCCTCCCAAAGTGCTGGGATTACAGGTGTGAGCCACCACACCCGGCCCATCAAAGCCGTTTTAGAACATTCAGGCCAAAATTAGATCAGCTGGGGAGACCTGTCTTTAGTTAAGAGCTCTGTTCACTAAACTCTGTCTTTTAAACACGGGCTGCCCTCTCCATGCGTGTTGATAGCTTTGTGATTTCGGTTTTCTCTCCTTAGACACCAGCACCCAGTGGACAATGCTGGGCTTTTTTCCTGTATGACTTTTTCGTGGCTTTCTTCTCTGGCCCGTGTGGCCCACAAGAAGGGGGAACTCTCAATGGAAGACGTGTGGTCTCTGTCCAAGCACGAGTCTTCTGACGTGAACTGCAGAAGGTAGGCGCCTCTGGTCCACCCTCATCTCCCCCATGCTGGGTGGGCAGGGCCTGAGCTAGGAGTGTGAAGTCCACAGCTCTGTGTCTTTAAAGAGTCAAGCTGTCCAGTGGAGGGTGGGTGGCCTGGGGATGACTTTCTCTTTGCTCTTTTGCTTTATCTCCTATTTCACCTTTGATCCTGTTTTAACCACGGGCTTTCTCTCTCTCTCTCAGCCCCGCTTCTCTTCCTGAGTCTGCAGGGAGATTATGTTGCTGCCTTGTGACAGAATACATTTTTGTGGTAGCTGATTGTCATGATTAAAATCTAGTTTACAACTTCACATTTTACCACAGGAACCTTCAGAAAGGGTCGGGGGCCCCTGAACAAGGAAATTCTTATTCACAAATTGCATTCAGGGATCATTTCCTGGGTGGAAAGAAAGGTTTTTGCTCTCATCATTTTCTGTATCCTGGGAGGCTCCCTATACAGGGTAAATATGTAGTTCCCCAGGAAGGGTATTTTTTCCCAGAAGGTGAAGACTATGTACATAATTTTAAAGGAGAGACTTATGTGAGTGGTGGCAAAACCTGGAGACAAAAAGTGGTGGCAGGCGGGGAGCTAGGTGTGCCTTTCCCCCGGGGAGATGTGTAACGAGGACGTGTGCCCTTATTAAGACTAGAGAGACTGTGGCAAGAAGAACTGAATGAAGTTGGGCCAGACGCTGCTTCCCTGCGAAGGGTTGTGTGGATCTTCTGCCGCACCAGGCTCATCCTGTCCATCGTGTGCCTGATGATCACGCAGCTGGCTGGCTTCAGTGGACCAGTAAGTTCTAACCATCCTTTCCGACAGTCTCCAGGGGCCCGGCCACGGCCAGCTCTAACACTCTTGTTCTGTTCCAGGGCTTGTGCTCAGCTTTGGGCTAGGTAGCAGTCTTAGAGATGCCTTCAGGACTGTTGAAAGGGGTCGATGGATTTTGGAGTGAATGGTGGCTTGGCAACAGCTGGAAGGATGAAAGGGCAGTGTTGCCAGAGAAGAAATGGAACTGGCTTGATTTCTGGGCGGGGGTAAAATGGAACTGATTCCAGTTCTGCACAGGACTGTGCTTCTCGGTTGTGTGTTGACATGAAATGATAGTCGGTGCAGGCAGATGTGTCTTGCAGTGCTGTGAGTGGGTGAGAGCACATTATGTGGCCTGGGCTGGTGAGCCAGCGCTGGGGACATACCGAGTGCTTGGAGGCAGAGTTATCACATGTTTGGCGGGTCCGTGGCAAATAAGCCCTGAGAAAACTAGAGGACTGTCGAGGATTTTAGAGTCTGACCTGGAGTCCATTTAAGTTTGACTTATAGTGTAACTGTGTGGCAAGCGTTGGGGTGGCAGCCGTGGTTTTCCCCAGTCTGTACTGATGCAGAATAGACAAGAGAGCCTTTGACGTTCACTCTGTTTCCTGGGCACCTGTTTCTTACACTTGCTGTGCTGCCTTACACTTGAGACCTTGATTAAATCTATTCTCTACACATTTGCCTTGAGGCATCGGAGCAGTAGTACTGCTTGTACTGTGCGTTTTCCGTGTGTGGGTAAAGCTGGAGGTTCATGGTTTCGGTAAGTATGTGCCTCAGATGCATGGTGATTAGGTAAAACTAATTTGCAGTTTTGTTTTTGTTTTTGTTTTTTTAATGTTTGATGCCTCTTGTTAAAGTTTTGATCTCTTTTCTGAAGCAGAGAACACTACTTTTCTGGTATTGGGTTTCTATATTATTAATAATTGACCAACTAACATACTTTATATAAAAGTTTTAAGTAAGAAGGACCATGTAACTGAAATGTTGTGTTATGTAATTTACCAAAATGGCAAACACTTTCATAGAGCCAGCTTCCCCCAAGAAGAGCTTCTGTCATTGTTTCACTACAGGGCTGGTGGCTGCTCTTACCTCATAGAATTCATTCCTCTGGGTAGCACCCTATGCAGGCTTTCCGAATAAAGTGATCATGGGCTTTCTTGATTCCATTTGGCCAATGCAAGAACTTCATTGACTCCCCTCTAAAAAAAAATTCCATGGATTGTTGGGATTTTTATTTTTATTTTTTGAAAAAAAAGTTACCTATCCATATTCAGCTTGGTGGCTTCACGGTCACTCCCCCTGAACATTCATATATTCCATAATCTCTCATTTATGGTGCAGAACACTGGGATACTAACTAACCTCTAGGAAACTGTTCTGGCTGCCAGGGAAAGCTAAGAGCCCTCCTTTCACAGGAAAGCAGCTGCGTGCTTTTTCTTCTCTCTGCCCTTTCAGGGAAGAGCATCTTAAGGCCAGTGTTATTTCATGGGATTCTGTCCTGGAACTGAGAAAGCAATGGACTCATCCATAGTGTCTTATACATTTAAAAGTGTAAATAATACACACTTCCTTTTTTGGAACTCCAATTCTAATATGTTTCTTTTCCATTGGAAATTGAAAAACCAGGCTGGTTTTGAGATTAGTACTAGCAGTGAGTAAACCTCCTCTCTGTGGCCTTAAATCCTTTTGAGGAACATTCGTTTTAGATTTTTGCAAGTTTCCTAATCTGGCACAACTTTCAAACTAGCTTAATCTGTCCTTACAGAAACCTGTATGAGGACAGACTGCCCACATACGGGCTCCCCAAATAAAACGGCATTTTTATTTCTTGTCCCTGCTCGGGTTTCACCGAACCTTGGTAGCCATACACAGAACAAATGAAACAGAATCAAGTTGTTGTGCTGTGTTTGTTTTTACCTACCGGCCAGCTGATGCTGACATTTATACACCAAGATGATCCAAGGCTTTGGTGATACCAGTGGACTAGCGCCATATGTGCAGGGTGCCTGGGGGTCATCATAATGTTCACGGAGTACCAGACTCTCTAACAGTATGGTCCTGTGTAGCCACATTGCTACACTTACAGAGATGCTTTGGGGCCTTTTTGGATTAAGATAGTTCTAAAAGACCAGGCCTCACCTGTGATCTGTGTATAAAGAATTAGCATCGCACCTAGATCTGCAAGAGAAGGCCGCCTCCTGCAGTGCTATCTCTTGGTGAATGCTAACTCTGCCTGAGGGCCTTTTGGGGAAAGGACAGTGTAAAACCCTTAGAGAGGTAAGTTTCCCACCCTTCCAACCTCTCTCCACCTGCAGCTTGCTTGGTGCTGTCAGGATCTGGATTTGGGGGGAGTCTCTCTGTAGTGGAACCAGTGACAGAAGCTGTTCTTTAGAATTTTCAGGATGGCTGTATTCTGCGGTCAGAATGAGAGAGTCAAGCTGGGCAGAATCTCTCGCCAAGAGTTCAGGTAAGGTAATGTTTATTCACTGGGAATGCTTTCCACAGCCAGACAGCTATGCTAACAGTCTCAAGTTTTCTTCCAGTTTGTTTAGATTTAAATGATACATTTGTAACTTTTTAAAAACTAAATTTTGGTTGGATTTTTCGTGGAAATCTCTTTTTTCTTTATCCCCTAAAAAATGGTTTGAAATGTCATTGTTATTTAAAAACCCAATGTGTTGGAACTTCTTTAATCTGCTGTTTCCTCTTTTTCCCCCTCCTTTGAAAGTTTCGCATAGTATAAACATTCACTATGTCTTTTACCTTCCCTGCTCCTCCCCTCTGGGAGGCGCTGATGCTATTACTTGGTGCTGAAAAATGGCACTCTAAAGGTATGGGAAGGAAGGAGCCCAAGGCAACCACCTGCTGTCCTTTCAGCCTTCCTTTGGAGACTGCTCCATCAGTGCTGAGGTGTGTGGGAACAGGCATCACTGCACCGCCATCTTACTGAGTTGCTTCACGTGAGGAAAAGGGGGCTTTGGCCCTGTGACTCAGTTCCACATTTTGGATTGCATACTGGAAAAGAAGCCAATCTTCTTGCTAGTAAACCAGCAACCCGGCTGTATACAGTGGTGACCCAAGCAATGGATATAAATCTAAAAGTCTGAGGGAGGGGAGAGGTGGAATACAGTAGTTCTTGGAATCTGAAGTCTCCTATTTGATCAGGTTATTTCTTGGGACTTGGCAAAAATCTGATTGGTGGGGATCTCCTAGGACCTAGTGGACATCTGGTATTAATTTAATCTCAGGAAAAACAAGAAATTAACCCAGAGAGATTCTGGGTTCTGGAATTCAGCATAGCTACCTCCGGACCGTGGTGTCTGGCCTCCATTTTTGTCTGTCATTCAGCTCTGACTTACAGCTGCAGTCACCTTTGCTATAAGGAACCTGAGTATAGGGGTGGATGGGCTTCACGTTAATTTTTTTCTTCCTTTAGGGTGGGGGATTGGTTTGGCTTTCTTTTGTTGTTGTTTTTTGTTTTATTTTTGTCAATCAAGATTGATTTTTAGATGCAAGGACTTGAAAAGACCCAGAAGGATGCCACCAGTTTTTCCTTGAGGCCTAGGATTTTTTTTTCTGTCCCGAGCAGAGGTAATTCCTCACAGCTTAGTGCACCCGTGGCACCAGCCATTTTGAGCAGAGCACCTCTTTGGGGAGCTTTTCGTTTTGTTTTGTTTTTCATTCTCTTTCCTTAGCAGCAAGGTCTTTTTTCCTAGAGAATCTACTCCATTGCAGAATCATTGCAACCTCAGGAGCCCTCACTGATTGAGCGCTGTCAGCCTGATATACTACTTTGGACTCTGGAAACAGATATGGGCTCTATTCTCTATTTCTACTGTGTGTCGTTAAACAACCGTCGGAGGCCAGATGACCTGTTAGATGGCTAGTCCTGTATAATTTGACTCTGTATGTTTCAATGTATGTTACTGCAATGCTTCACCTGCTGTACAGTGTTTGTGAGATGCTCTTTGAAGATGGTACTTTTATATTTTTTCATTTTCAATAAAAGTACATTCCTTCCCACTTCCTGGTATTTAATACTGTTGCTGAATGTGCCTTGTGTGAGTGTGTGCTCCGGCGTTGCAGGACCTCAGCTGGAGGTGGCACTCGGTGGTTCTTGGGGGCTGGCCGCCTTCCCTCTGCAGGTGGTGTTAGACATATACTGCCTGAGGTAACATGTTTTCATTTTTGGGAGGGAGTTGGGAGTGGGGTGGGCCCATGGGAGGGTCTCTGGAGTTTTGATAGCCTGCTTTGTTTGCTCTCTTCTGTACTATTAAACTGCTGATGTTTATTTTCAGGAATGTTTTGCAAATGCACTTCTCACTCTTCCCCAGTACAACTGTAGGTACACTGTTCCTTTTTATCAAATAAGCACGTTTGAAATGATCCAAAAAAAGGTCTTAATTTCATGTAAAGAAATGTATCCATGTGTGGAGATACTGGAATAAGGTCAAAGTTGTACTTTTGAATGACCATGTGTTTAGAGTTAACTTCAGCTCATTGATAGGTTTATGTTACATTAGAAAGAGTAATGGTTTTGATGGTGTCCTGTAAGGAAGAAAGTTTTCAATTAGACCTAGCTCCTGCAGAATGCCCTGAGGAAATTACTGCAGGCAGCTTGTAATAACTGGGTCCCCCAAAGTTTTGTTTCGCTTGCACACTGGTCCCTGAGTGGAGCTGCCTACTCTTTCTAACTTAACATAAAACTATGGCATTGTGTGTGAGTGCCGTGGAGATGTTGACATTGGTGTGTATCTCTCCCTGTAGGCCTTCATGGTGAAACACCTCTTGGAGTATACCCAGGCAACAGAGTCTAACCTGCAGTACAGCTTGTTGTTAGTCCTGGGCCTCCTTCTGACAGAAATCGTGCGGTCTTGGTCGCTTGCACTGACTTGGGCATTGAATTACCGAACCGGTGTCCGCTTGCGGGGGGCCATCCTAACCATGGCATTTAAGAAGATCCTTAAGTTGAAGAACATTAAAGAGAAATCCCTGGGTGAGGTGAGTGAGGGGTGTTTGCTTCACAGCAGAGGGCAACTTCCTAGCTTGAGGTTCGTTCCTCTAGGGCCCTACCTCCTGAGATGAATGAACCATGTCCTTGCAGGGCTCCCTCACTACTCTTTGTATCTTACAGCTCATCAACATTTGCTCCAATGATGGGCAGAGGATGTTTGAGGCAGCAGCCGTTGGCAGCCTGCTGGCTGGAGGACCCGTTGTTGCCATCTTAGGCATGATTTATAATGTAATTATTCTGGGACCAACAGGCTTCCTGGGATCAGCTGTTTTTATCCTCTTTTACCCAGCAATGGTGAGTAAGCCTCCCAGCTGAATCTTGGCAGTTTCTCCTTAGGAAACGAGTTACTTCCACTGGGTTATAGTAGGCATTGCTGAGGTGTCACATCTCTGATTGGAAATTTCCTCAAAGCAGATTAAATCTAGAGCTAGATAGCGCTTGCTCCGTTGGGACAGAATTTTGACTTGAGAGGAGGTAAGGTGTCACTTGCATGAAAAAGAGTCTGAATGAGAAGGCCAGCCAGTGAGCCCTGTCTCACTTGACGTAGGAGTGTTTGAGTCACTGCGCTGGAGTTGGTGCTAAGTGATAGGGCCCTCCTGCCTCCCCTTTGGAAACACGCAGTATCTGTGGTCACTGTTGAGAATAGATACTTACTTGTCTTCATTGCCTTACAAAGAGATAAGAATTCAGTAATGTTTTGTTACAGTTCAGTAGGTCACTTTTATTAAAGACAGTACAGCTACATAACATCCTAGGAAACAGGATTATATGCTCATTTTATTGAGAATGACCTTAAGCAGATTAGGTAGTTCTCAAGTTTGAATGAGCTTTAATTTGGTGTGGCATCGCTTTTCCTTTCAGATGTTTGCATCACGGCTCACAGCATATTTCAGGAGAAAATGCGTGGCTGCCACGGATGAACGTGTCCAGAAGATGAATGAAGTTCTTACCTACATTAAATTTATTAAAATGTATGCCTGGGTCAAAGCATTTTCTCAGAGTGTTCAAAGTGAGTTTAAAGATTTTGTATGTGCATGTGATAGAAGGACTTTGGATTCTTTGGGTCTTATTCACACACTTGGCTTTCTGAACACATTACATACTAGGACTAGTGTCTAGTATATCGTAGGACATAATATAGAATCTTTGTGTTCAAAAGGGATCTTAGAGGTTTGAACCCATAACCTCATCTCACTGATGAGGAAATTGAGACCTGGGAAAATGGATTTTTCCCAGTTAATACACAGCTAGTTAGGAATAATTCAGTTTCAAAGCCCCCTGTGTATATTCTCATCCTGCCCATGATTTCCCAGCCTGGTCATGAGGCTTTGAGGTAAGCTGGGAGTCAGGATGGCTGGATGCTGGTCCTAGCTCTGTCAAATATGTAAGTGCCAATAAAGCTAGGAGAAATAGCACAGATGGGGCTTTCAGAAAGATCTCCACACAAGTTGAACCAGTGTGCCTTAAAACAGATGAAATTGAAGCAGGAGATACTTAAAACCAAATGCATAGATACTTAATTTAAATAAAAGAGATGGGGCTGTTGGTGGACCATAACCTCATTAGGAGCTGAGTCCAATGCTGTAAAACAGTCAATACATTATAGGTGGAGTCGAAATACAGTGTTCAGGTCGGGCGCCAGTGGCGCACACCTGTAATCCCAGCACTTTGGGAGGCTGAGGGAGGAGGATCACCTGAGGTCAGGAGTTAAAGACCAGCCCGGCCAATATGGTGAAACCCCATCTGTACTAAAAATACAAAAATTAGCTGGGTGTGGTGGCATGTTCCTGTAATTCCAGCTACTTGGGAGACAGAGACAGGAGAATGAATCGCTTATACCCAGGAGGCAGAGGTTGCAGTGAGCTGAGATCACGCCATTGCACTCCAGCCTGGGTATTGCAGTGAGACTCTGTCTCAAAAAAAAAAAAAAAGAAAAAGAAAAAGTGTTCAGAGCAAGGCAGCTGTTTTCCTTTCATTGAGTAACCTTCAGGAACATGATGTCCAGTTCTGGAATCTGCATTTGATTTATGAGGGCTGTTAAGCTAAGAAGCATCCAGAGGAGGTGACCACTCAAGAGGTGCCCCCCAGTGGATGGGGCTACCTTGTTAAACAGTGAGTTTGTTTCTACTGGAGTGGAACAAATGGTTTCTGAATGGACAGCTGCCAGCAGGTTGATGGCAGGATGGCTGCCAGTGGTCCTTCTGGCTCTCTGATTCTATAGTTTTATGGTCTTTTTTCTGAGATTCCCCTCATCCATCAGCCCCTGACTGGTATCTTTACCTGTAGGTATTAATTTGAAAAGAGTGTTCTTACTCATTATAGACATGGCCAAGGTGTATAAGAAATGTTAAAGTAAGGAGTTCAGTGTTTTTATGTGACTTACAAACTAGCTGTGAAGATAGTTCCCCAATGCCTTAGGCAGTGGTAACACCTTTAAGGTCAGTGCATAGCCTCTTAGAAGAATTAAGTATTTGCCAGGTGCGATGTTGCATGCCTGTAATCCCAGCACTTTGGGAGGCTGAGGCGGGTGGATCACCTGAGGTCAGGAGTTCAAGAGCAGCCTGGCCAACATGGCAGAACCCCTTCTCTACTGAAAATACAAAAATTAGCCAGGCGTGATGGCACAGCCTGTAATCCCAGCTGCCCAAGAGGCCAAGGCAGGAGGATCAGTTGAACCCGGGAGGCAGAGGTTACAGTGAGCTGAGATCACACCACTGTACTCAAACCTGGGCAACAGAGTGAGACTCCATCTTAAAAAAAAAAAAAAAAAAAAAAAAGTATTGTCCGGGTGAGGTGGCTTATGCCTTTAGTCTCGACGCTTTGGAAGGAGAGACAGGATCACTAGAGCCCAGGAGTTCGAGACCAGCCTGGGCAACGTAGTGAGACCTCATCTCTACAAAAAATAAAACTTAACTGGGCATGGTAGTGTACATCTGTGGTCGCAGCTACTTGGGAAGCTAAGGTGGGAGGATTACTTGAGCCATGGAGGTTGAGGTTTCAGTGAGCCATGATTGTGCCACTGCACTCCAGCCTGAGCAACAGAGTGAGACCTCATCTGAAAAAAAAAAAGGTATCTTATTGTTCTGCTTCCTGCTCCATGGTCTTCAGTACTGTATGGTTGCTTTGCTAATAAGGGGGTTGATTTTGCAAATATTTAAGAAAAATCATTCTGCCTGTAGAAATTATATTTCACCTATCTTCCAGTTGTCGTTACTGCATTTTTGTATGGAAGCTTCTATGCCACTGCCAACATACAGCAGGCACTCTACGAAATCTTAGTTACCTCCCCACCGCCTTTCTTTTTTTTTTTTCCTTTTGAGACAAAGTCTGGCTTTGTCACCCAGACTGGAATACAGTGGTGCAATCTTGGCACACTGCAACCTCCACCTCCCGGGTTCAAGCGATTCTCTGGCCTCAGCCTCCCAAGTAGCTGGGATCACAGGCGTGTACTAACACACCCAGCTAATTTTTGTATTTTTAGCGGGACGGGGTTTCACTATGTTGGCCAGGACGGTCTCGAACTCCTGACCTCAGGTGATTCCCCCTGCTTTGGCCTCCCAAAGTGCTGGGATTATAGGCGTGAGCCACCACCCCCAACCTCTTAGTCCCTTTTTAATTCTCCAGTGTCATTGTGTTGTCTTTCGTATTAATGCCTTAGGCAAAAATTAAACAACAACCGGGTAAGCAAACGCAACTGCCAATTACAGACACAATTAATGTGTTCATTCGTTCTAAACCTAAGAAACTGACAAGAAAAATCAGAAAAAGGTATCATAGAAGATGATCATTGTGTTCATGTATAGTGATTGCTTTCTGTTAGATTCATTCCTGTCACTTGATCCATTTCAAACCTCAGCCTTTTATACCAGCTGTAGTGGTAAAGTTGATAGTCATAAGCGTTGAAGAGTGGCTGGAGACCTACGGAGTCTTGTTTGGAGGTGGAGGAACAACATCCCTAGGCTGCTTTTAACTTGCTTTGAAATTGGCTTGCTTTTTCATAGAAATCCGTGAGGAGGAGCGTCGGATATTGGAAAAAGCTGGGTACTTCCAGAGCATCACTGTGGGTGTGGCTCCCATTGTGGTGGTGATCGCCAGCGTAGTGACCTTCTCTGTTCATATGACCTTGGGCTTCGATCTGACAGCAGCACAGGTCAGGCAACCCTCAGGGATGGGGAACATTTTAGAAATACCACATTTGCCGGAGGCTGAGGCAGGAAAATCACTTGAACCCAGGAAGCAGAGGTTATGGTGAACCGAGATCGCGCCACTGCACTACAGCATGGATGACAGAGCGAGACTCCATCTCAAAAAAAAAAAAAAAATACCGCCTATGGAGATGATGCTCTGATCTTCTTACTGGACCTGGAGGTTTCCCCAAGAATTAGTAGATATTTTTTCATTCATGGGATTAAGCTGAGAAGCAGAAGAGTGGGGAGCCAGCCCTTATGCACAAATAGTGTATGAGTTGTTTTTAGTCAACCTAAATTTGAGTTTAATTCTGAAATTACAGATCCTCCTGTGGTTCATATTTACTGGCAATTTCAATTGAAGGTCTAAAAAACTCTACTTAAAAAAAAAATGTGGCCGGGCGCGGTGGCTCACGCCTGTAAATCCCAGCACTTTGGGAGGCCAAGGCGGGCGGGTCACTTGAGGTCAGGAGTTTGAGACCAGCCTGGCAAACATGGTGAAACCCCATATCTACTAAAAATGCAAAAAATTAGCCAGGCATGGTGGTGAGCGCCTGTAGTCCCAGCTACTCGGGAGGCTGAGGCAGGAGAATTGCTTGAACCTGGGAGGTGGAAGTTGCAGTGAGCCGAGATTGTGTCACTGCACTCCAGCCTGGGCGACAAAGCGAGACTCCGTCTCAAAAAAAAAAAAAAAAAGTAATTGACTTGTAATAACATCTGACAGTCAAGCTGCAGCCTTCCTAGCACATGAGAGGAAATTGATGGTGTCAGGTTACTTTAGTTGCATAGCATAATTAGGCACAGTTTCTTCTCTTCTCCTATTTTCAGGCTTTCACGGTGGTGACAGTCTTCAATTCCATGACTTTTGCTTTGAAAGTAACACCATTTTCAGTAAAGTCCCTCTCAGAAGCCTCCGTGGCTGTTGACAGATTTAAGGTAAGTGGCTCCTTTCCCTGCCCCAGTGTCAGGAGCCCTCCCCACACAACTAACTGCTGGCTCTGTTCAAGGGGCCGCACAGGCTGGCCTCACTGGATTTAAGCTTGGCTTTGGCCTTTTGGCAAATCGGTAAGAAAAAGGGGGCAGTGGAGGAGACTGAATTGAGGGACGAGACTTACCACCTTTTAAAATTAATGTGAATTTTTACCTTTTGTGGATGGCCATGATCTGAGCTCCCAGGATTGCAGAGTTCCCCTTTAGAGCTAGCCCCTTCCACCTGGTCCTGACATGGATGTGTCGCAACTCACTGGGCCTTGAAGTGGCTTAAACCTAGAAGACCAGCACTGTGGGGCATCTTCCCCTTGATCTTTGTTACTGTCACTTTGATTGGTTGACACGCTGAATCCTTTTTGATACTTTCTTTTTCCTGCCCTGTGGTTGCTACTCACGATGCAGGGAAAGCAGTGACATGGAAATAGTTGTAAAACTAGATCATGTTGAGAAGTGCAGTTAAGTAAGTATCAGCTTCTTTTTTTGCAGGTGGTTAGTTGATCATACCTTGGCTGTGTTCCTTGTTCCTTCAGGATAATACACATACATGATATGAAAGGGAGTATATTTGGGAGGGTGGAGAGAAATAGATATTTGACAGTGGTTAATACTAAACAAAAAAAAGGGGACACCATGTGAGCTGGAATTCTTTGACATTGTCACTGCATAGATTAGCTCCTATGTCCCTGCTTGTCTTTATTGGCTGGTGAGAGGAATACGAAAGCAATTTTGGTGATGTGAAGGCTTAAAGCTCACACATTTGAGGAATGGATATAATCATCTTGGAGGTTCAGGAGAAAACAAATTGGATTTTCTTCTTAAGAAATGTGGAAACTCAGTTCCTGGGATTTGTTTATATTCTACTTGTTTACAGTTGACCAGGTGACTTTTATTTGGTCAAGAAAGCCAGTCCTGGCCAAGCATGGTGGCTCACGCCTGTAATCCTAGCTCTTTGGGAGGCTGAGGCAGGTGGATCACTTGAGCCCAGGAGTTCAAGACCAGCCTGGGCAACACAGCAAGACCCCGTCTCTACAAAAAAATAAAAAAATAGCCAGGTGCAGGGGCATGCACCCATAGTCCTAGCTACTCGGGAGGCTGAGGTGGGAAGATTGCTTGAGCCCAGGAGGTTGAGGCTGCAGTGAGCTATGATCATGGCACTGCACTCCAGCCTGGACAACAGAGTGAAACTCTTACCTTTTTTTTTTTTTAAAAAAAAGAAAGAAAAAGGAAGGAAGGGAGGGAGGGGAGAGAGAGAAGGAAGGAAGGAGAGGGAGAGCGAGGGGGAGAGGAAGGGGGAGGGGGAGAGGGAGGGGAAGAAAGCTAGTCTTCGAATGTGCCCCTCCCCGACCCCAGCATGGCTACTTAGAAAACCAAGAGCCAGAGTCATATGAAAAAAAAATGGCCTAATGGGACTCTGAGATTTATTTTGCTGAATCCGCAGTAACCAGTCGTGGATGAAAGGCAAATGTTTGACCATAAGTTCTCCCTGCTGTTCATTTCTATATTCTTGTTAGTGAATGGATTTGGTAGCACTTTGAATAAAGTAAGGGCCTATAGTGTAGGTTGGTCCTCCCCTTGTTTTTCGAGGACTCTCATCTCCTGCTTAGTAGTGAGGACTTGGATTAGCAGGTGGCTTTCACATCATAGGTCCCTCCTCTCTCCAGTAAGCTTCAGAGTTAATAGTAGAAGCAGCACCACCCACAGCTCTATTTGATGCCCCATGAGACTTTAGACCCCTGCTATTTTATTCCTCTTGGTGGTCTCAGTCTCTTTTTTTCCTTTTTATTCTTTTTTTAATGAGATGCTTGGCACAAGATAGCAAGTATTTATGGCCAGGCTTGGTGGCTAACACCTGTAATCCCAGCACTTTGGGAGGCTGAGGTGGGTGGATCACTTGAGGTCAGGAGTTCAAGACCAGCGTGGCCAACACGGTAAAACCCCATCTTTACTAAAAATCCGAAAAATTAGCCAGGCATGGTGGTGTGCGCCTGTAGTCCCAGCTGCTCAGTAGGCTGAGGCAGGAGAATCACTTGAACCTGGGAGGTGGGAGTTGCTATGAGCCGAGATCGCGCCACTGCACTCCAGCCTGGGCAACACAGAGAGACTCTGTCTCAGGAAAAAAAAAAAAAAAAAAAAAAAAAAGATAACAAGTATTTATTACTTAATTCCTCCCCAACTCTAAGCCGGTTCTTTCTTCTTCTTATCTTCAGATGTTTATTAATTAGAATTACGTTGACTTTATGAGGGTTGGAGGGCTGTTTTTTAGGTGTAAGGCAACTGTTTATTATGTTTCTGAGTACATTAAAGGAAGTCTGCCACAATTGGGGGCCCATCTAAGGCAGCCTTTTGAAAACAACAAAACTGTTCCTGGGATTGTATCTCCCCAAAAGCATCTGCCCTCCCATGATTTTTAGAGGATGGAATATAGAATAACAAGGATGGGACTTGCTGCTTTGATTCATTTTACAGACCTTGAAACTCATTAATGATTTTACAGAGCCCTGCTTTTCACCCTGTGTCTTGTTTTATATCATTTTCTTTCTTTCTTTTTTAAATTGGAGTTGGAGATCTGATAGATTGGCAAGTATAGTGTTTTCTCTATTTCACCTACCCTGCAAGTGCATCTTGCAGGAGAACTTGTTGCTTCCTGTTGGGTAGTACGCATAGAGAATAGGAAAAGAGATATAAAATTTATTTATGTAACCTGTAATTTATAGATTTGATGACCTGTAGAAAGGCAGTGCGAAGCTGCACTGATTGTCACCAGTGGAATAGGGTGGCTTGTTCTAGCAAATACAGACACAGGACACCCAGTGAAATACTGCATGGAATAATACTGAAAAATTATTATTGTTTTTCTGGAATCTAAATTTGACTGGGGCCAGGCATGGTGGCTCATGCCTGTAATCCTAGCACTTTGGGAGGCTGAGTGGGTGGATCACTTGAGGCCAGGAGTTCGAGACCAGCCTGGCCAACTTGGTGAAACCCCATCTCTACTAAAAATACAAAAATTAGCTGGGCGTGGTGGTGGGTACCTGTAATCCCAGCTACTCGGGAGGGCTGAGACAGAAGAATGGCATGAATCTGGGAGGCAGAGGTTGCAGTGAGCCGAGATTGCACCCCTGCACTCCAGCCTGGGTGACAGAGTGAGACCCTGTCTCAAAAAAATAATTAATTAATTAATTTAATTGGGCATCTTATATTAATCTGGCAACCCTGTGAGTAGTCCCCTCTTCTGCTCTCAACAGATTCATTCTGATTTGATTCTTCTAGTGAATGAATAGTGTGTTTATGGTCAGTGTCCTATGATAAAGTTGAGGCTTATGGTTTATAGGTTTATGTGGTTATAGGTTTACGTTATATCTAAGATTCTGTTGTTCTGACAGGTGCAAATTCAAGTAGATACAAGTTCAAGTATGGAGAGGCCCTTGTCTGCCTCTTAGCACATCAGGACAGAGTGACCTGAAGCCAAAACTCTCCTGGTAGGAGGGAGGGTAAGGCTGCGGGGAGTAGGAAGGAAACATGGGGCTGGAGCTGTGAAAACCAGTAGGTACTGGCATGTTTCTTAATAGTTCATTGAGGCCTAAAAGACCTTTGTCCTTTGAATAACTCTTTAGGGGAGAGAAATGATGGAAATTCTGTCGTCATGTGGTTTTACTCTGTGAAGGTGATCAAAATGTTTGGCATGTTACTCTTAGCTCAGTCTCTCAGGAAGGCTTTGAACAAATGAAACCAGCAGCCGTTTCAGCAATCAGGGGCTACACCTAAGGTTATTCAGGAGTGAAGATTATCTCAGAAGTTTAGAATCATGATACTGCGGGGAAGACAGGGTCAGGGATGAATGGGAGATGGGGGCTTAAGGGAGAGCTTAGAAGTTTAGAATCCAAGAGAGAAAGGGTTTGTTCTTGGGGAGAGGGATTATGTATGATATTTTATAGCACCTGCAAAATTTAAGATAGCTGCAGGGTTCTCAGTAATTAAGCAGAGTCCTGACCCTAAAAGCTATCTTTTCTCTAAAGATTTCGTAATGTTTAAAATTTTTTAAAATTAAGATAAATATGTTTTAAATCATACTGTGAATCCAACTGGTATAGCAATCTGTAGAGAAGATCACTGGCTTAAGAGAATTGTTAGAAGTGAATTCAAAGTCTTATGGGAACATCCTGGGCTGCGATATATTATGATCAGTGTTTTACATCTTAATTTCAGAAACATTTCCCTCTTCAAGAATTCATTCTTCAGCCGGGTGCAGTGGCTCACACCTGTAATCCCAGCACTTCGGGAGGCTGAGGCAGGCAGATCACTTGAGTCCAGGAGCTCAAGACCAGCCTGGCCAACATGGCGAAACCCCATCTCTACAAAAAAATACAAAAATTAGCTGGCATGGTGGCGCATGCCTGTAATTTCAGCTACTTGGGAGGCTGAGGCATGAGAATCTCTTGAACCTGGGTGGTGGAGGTTGCAGTGAGTCGAGATTGTGTCACTGCACTCCTGTCTGGGCAACAGAGCAAGACTCCGTCTCAAAAAAAAAAAAAAAAAAAAATGTTTCTTTTAATGTAACTCAGGGTTCTCTGGGAATGAGTGGGAGGAAGGTGTCTTGTTCTCTTCCCAAGGGCTGTTTCTCAGGGAGATACCCTTCACTTCCATGCAAGCCTGTTCATTTGGTTGTTGAACTCTCAAGTTCCAAGGCAAGGCTTTGAAGACATGAGAGTTTCTTGGCAAGAAAATGTTCTCTGTGGTAGATGACACTTTGAGATACTGTTTTCTGACGGTAGCAATGTAAGCCTGTGACAGTCTGTACTCCTAGATACGTGCGGCGCTGTGAGTGTGGGAAGTGGGCAGGCTTTGGGATTCTGCAGGAGGGGTCTGGAAGGAAAACACATAGTGAGCATCTGTACTGGAGGTCAGCATGCCCTTTGCTTTTCCTACCTGCTTTTTACTACTCCTTAGAACAAGGGGCTACATGCCAGTCAGTTAAATGTCATTAGGTCCGCGTTAGGCTGGCTGAGGGGGAGAGGCAGTTTAGCATGTAATTTGTCATGTAGAATATTGGGTCATTGACAAGGCCCCTGGACCTCTTGAGGTTGCCCCACACTCCCGTGACCCCTTGATGGGCCTGAGACTGGCTGCACTAATGAGCTACCTTTTGCCCTTCAGCTTCCTTCCACTGTATAGCCTGATGTGTTTTGCTACGTGAGTGTGCGCCCTAGGCTTGTCTCCCTGGTCTTGATCCAGTGTCTCATCTTTGCACCTCTCTCACAACTCCTATCAGAGTTTGTTTCTAATGGAAGAGGTTCACATGATAAAGAACAAACCAGCCAGTCCTCACATCAAGATAGAGATGAAAAATGCCACCTTGGCATGGGACTCCTCCCACTCCAGTATCCAGAACTCGCCCAAGCTGACCCCCAAAATGAAAAAAGACAAGAGGGCTTCCAGGGGCAAGAAAGAGAAGGTGAGGCAGCTGCAGCGCACTGAGCATCAGGCGGTGCTGGCAGAGCAGAAAGGCCACCTCCTCCTGGACAGTGACGAGCGGCCCAGTCCTGAAGAGGAAGAAGGCAAGCACATCCACCTGGGTCACCTGCGCTTACAGAGGACGCTGCACAGCATCGACCTGGAGATCCAAGAGGTAAGCGGCCCGCCCCCTGCCTCCCCACCCGCACCCCACCACCCCGTGCTGATCTGCCACCGATAGGCGGCTGCTGTTCCTTTTCACAAAGTGCTTTGTGGCTAGGAGTGATTTTGAACTAAAGAGCAAATTAGACCAGCTCTAACTCTAAAAAAACCAGTTAAGTATTTTGCAGCAGAATTGAATAACAACTGATCTTATGAGGTGATAGTTTTATAAGCAAGGAAATGAAACATTCAAGAGGATTTTCCAGGATTTTCCCCTAAAGAGGATTCAGTTTTAGTTGTATGTGAGCTGTGACAGCTATTTCTGATTGTTACCACTCTGTGAGGGTCCTTGTGCAGGAGGCTGTGCATCATACCTGGTGCGTCATAGGTAGTCTCAGGGCTACTGTGACAACAATCGTGTTGTAATTATTTATTCTTAATATAAGTTAAGGATCGTTACGGTAGATGATGTCACAGCCCAGGTAGCATAAGATTAGTCTCAGAGGGCCTCCTGTAGGGAACAGAGATGCCAGGTTCAAGGCTTTTAAAATATAGACTATGTATTTCGGAACCAGCACCATGTTCACAGGTCTGTGTCATTAGAGGGCCCCAGATGTGTATATATTCATTCATTCAACAGCCATTTTATGAGTATCAAATTCCATGCCAGATGCTGTGGTAGGGCTGGGCATAGAGCTACAAAAACCCAAACAGACAAAAATCCCGTCCTTCGTGGAGTTTACATTCTAGCAGGCACAGACAGGTCATAAGCAAATAAAATATATGACATATCAGATGGTGATAAGGGCTATGACAGAAGGGGACAGAGGCTGGGCATGGTGGCTCATGCCTGTAATCCCAGCACTTTGGGAGGTCAAGGTGGGCAGATCGCTTCAGCCTAGGAGTTCAAGACCAGCCTGGCCAACATGTTGAAACCCTGTCTCTACAAAAAATAGAAAAATTAGCCGGCTGTACGCCTATAGTCCCAGCTACCTGGGAGGCTGAGGCAGGAGAATTGCTTGAGCCCAGGAGGTGTAGGTTACAGTGAGCTGAGATCGCGCCACTGCACTCCAGCCTGGGTGACAGAGTGAGAGACTCAGTGAGACTCAGAGTGAGTCTCAAAAAAAAAAAAAAAATGGTGGGCAGGGAGAGAGTGTGCTGGGGCAAGGAGCAGGTGTGGTTACGACTTGAATAGCTGCCTGAGGGAAAGCGTCATTTAAAAAGTAGTATTTGGGCAAAGATCAAAGGAGATGAGGGAGAGAGCTACCTGGGTATGGGGTGGGTGGGTAAGAACATTCCAGGCCAAAGGAACAGAAACACAGAGACCGCAAGTGGTGAGTGTGCGTGTTATTGGAGTGGAATGAGCGTGGGAGAGAGTAGTGGATGCCAAGGGCAGAGGTGGTGCCTGCCAGAGCCTCTGGTGAGACTTCGACTTTACTCCAAGCGGGAAGAGGAGCCTTTGGAGGATTCACAGCAGAATGACATGATCAGACTTATGTATGAAGAGGATCATTCTGGTTGCTGCAGGGGGAGACAAAGAAGCAAGGAGAACAGTCAAGGCTCTGTTACCACAGTAACCAGGAGAAAGATGAGGATGTCTTAGATCAAGGTTGCTGGTGGGAGGTGGTAAGAAGTGTTTGTCCATGTAACTGGAAGTAGGGAGGAGGAGGTTTGAATGCAGTGTTTATCAAAATCAGCAACTGACCAGAGGCATGGTAAGCCGATCCAGAACTAGACTGAGAAGAGAACAAAAAGCTTCCAGCTTTTGAAAACTATGAGCAAGAAGGGAAGACAGTCTTTAGTGACACCACTTGAAACTATTAGTGTCATTGAAGGGCATGCAAGTCAGTTTCTTTACGTCAGTTAACTCTTTTTTTTTTTTGAGATGGAGTCTGCCTCTGTCGCCCAGGCTAGAGTGCAGTAGCATGATCTCGCCTCACTGCAACCTCTGCCTCCCGGGTTTAAGTGATTCTCCTGCCTCAGCCTCCCGAGTAGCTAGGATTGTAGGCATGTGCCACTGTGCCTGGTTAATTTTTGTATTTTTAGTAGAGACAGGGTTTCACCATGTTGGCCAGGCTTGTCTCGAACTCCTGACCTCAGGTAGTCCGCCTGCCTCAACCTTTCAAAGTGCAGGGATTACAGGCGTGAGCCACTACACCTGGCCTTACTTCAATTAACGCCTAACAGGCTTTTTATTTAGTAACTATTAGCTTGATTATTGAGGCAGCTCTAATACATTGCTAATCAGCTCTATTAGAAAATGATTCCACACGTGCAGCTAAAATGTATTCTTTTACTTTGTATGTTGACCCTCATTCTGCCCTTCAGAGCCCACAGACACATGGGAGACCTTTAGCCATTTGAAGAGAAATCCCTTAATTCTCCCTGGGCCTTCTTTTTAGGGAAGGGAAGGGGAGGTGATGTTTGCCAAGTGTCTTCTGTGCACCAGGCATTTTTCTTATTTTTGGTGTCTCTAAATTAGTCTTCATTTAATCATCAGAATAGCATTTTTCTCACCTAACTGGCCTGAGCAGAGGTTGAACCTGTAAGTTGACCTCCTTGTTGCCACCAGGCAGTAAACCATTCAGTACTCCTGGACCACGTCAAAAACTATTTGTTCAACTATCAGACACTGTACTTAGTTTTACAAGGATACTGCCTTTCCTCAAGGTGCTCAGAGTCCAAAGAAGGAGACAGACACAGTATTAGGTTAAGTCACGGGGCCTAGATCACACTGTTAGCAAGTGCTGGTGAAATTGGGATTCAGATAAAGACCCATCTGCCTCCAGAATCCATGCTCCGTCCATACCACTACTCTCCCTTCCTTCCTGGGGATGCTTGAACCAGCACAGGGCTGTAAACAAGTGACCCTTTTGAAGTCATCTGTCTGTCCCTTGAAAACTTTCAACGCGACTTTGAGAACTCTGTATCTTGCCTAAGGATACTCATTTAGTCATAGACTTGGTTTTCTACTTTTGTGTGGGATTGTTGATATAAATAGTCCTCAGATTTTTGGAAATGTTTTGCAGAAAAATGGAAGCAACAGTGTCCATGGTTTTTATTGAAAATACACGATGTATACACCTTAGAGAAAAATCATAATAAAATGATTTTTTAAGAGTCCTCCCCTCTCTTCTGGAAAACAACAAAAACAAGTAAATAAAGAATATGGGTGGCCAGGTGCGGTGGCTCATGCCTGTAATCCCAGCACTTTGGGAGGCCAAGGCGGGCGGATCATTTGAGGCCAGGAGTTTGAGACCAGTCTGGCCCGGAGTGCGAGAATGATGGTGGGCTGCTGGAATGTGAGAATGATGGTGGGATACTGGAGTGGGTGGCGTGTTTACTTTCCCCAAAGGGCTTCCATTCCTGTTATCTCAGGTGTCTCCGCAGAAACCCATGAGATAGGCAGCTAATGAGTGAGAAAGCAGGTAAGTGGCCTGCTGAGTTATCAGGGTGACAGTTTTATATGCGTAGACTACAGTTAATGTGTTTTTTCCTCAAGTCCTTCGAGATGAGTGGTCAGTAGTATCTCAATGACCCTCCTCTCTGTGTACCTTGTCCAGGGGAAACTGGTTGGAATCTGCGGCAGTGTAGGAAGTGGAAAAACCTCTCTCATTTCAGCCATTTTAGGCCAGGTAAGATTTTTGTTATTGTCCTTTTCTGCTTCTTTGTCTGATTCACAAGAGTCTCAGGAAAAAATGAACAAATTTCCTGAAGAGAGTCAGGAAAGGTGGAAACAAATGAACCCTCAGCCTGCATTGTACTCCCCCAATTCCCCCCAGTTCCACCCCTTCATAGCCTTCTGCCTGGAGGGAGGCTTGGTGGGCGCCTGATGGATGACTGACTGTTGCCTCAGCTGGAGCCATTTGGTTTCATGCCTTCTTTCATTCAGCGTGTATCTATTGAATGCCACAGGTATGCCTGTGTGTTGAAAATGGCAGAGATAAGAGATGAACAGACACCCTACACTGCAGTGCTGCCAACAGAGTTAACCTATAAAGAAGCAGGGCTGACAGCACTCCCAGCCTGTCTGTCAGACAGGACTGTCAGGGTTTGATCTAGAAGCAAAGCCCCTCTGTTTTCTGCCTAATCCCTGAAAGAGTCATGCCCTTGGGGAGTTCATGGTCCAATGGGGAGCAAGGCCTTGAGGACACACAAGCACATCTCCAGGCAGGGAGTGAACAGCATGCGGGGTCCAGCACACCGTGGCCAGTACTGAGAGTGAGGGACAGGATGGGGCTGGAGTCATGCCGCTGAGACACACTATCATTGCTGTGTTTTAGAACCAAATAATCCAGAAAAAAACAAACAAAAAAAACAAGGCGCCCACATGCTTTTAAACTAGAATTAAATTAACTTGACTTAGATGGTTGAGATGAGCGTAAACTTACGATTATCTCTACTTCCTGATGGATATGCTTTTGTAGTCTCGTGCTTTCTTGTCTTGTTTGGCATCAACTGTCACAGTTGGTGAGTTGTGGTCCTCTTTGAGGGTGGTGGTGCCTGGGGCCATCTGAGTTCAGATCATGGCGGGCAGGGCCACACCTTCTGCTTTATGACACTCTCCAGTGGTGGGGCCCAGCCTTTGGTCTTGTAAAAAGCATCAGACTTCCTAGGTGATCTCTGATGACCAACCAGATTTGGAGGGCCAGTGAGGAAAGACAGAGATCGGGGGAGTGGGAGCAGGAAAGAAAAGGTCAATTCGTAAGTGCTGCTCTGCCATCTACCAATGTGCTCCGTTTTCCAGGGTTGATTAGGCAGTGCTTAGGTTGAAAACCAAGTCAGGCTTTGCTTCTGGACAAATCCTGGCAGCCCTGTCTCTGGCAGGGAAACGGGTTGTGCTGGTCAGCCCTACTTTAACTGTAGTTTACCTCCATTGATAGTGCTGCAGTGTGGGGTGTTTGTGCAGCAGTCAGAAGTGCCAGCTTTCCACAGTAGACCCTCTGAGGGCTTCTGAACCCTTTGAAGTACACATCAGAGTGCTACTAGTTTGTGGTGTATGTAGGTACACCTGTGTGTGTACACGCTGTGTGAGGGTGTTTGAGAAGACCAGCTTATATGAACAAGTACTGCACAGGCTGGTTAGTGAAACTTTGCTTCAAAGCTGTAGCATCCCTAAACCAAGACAAATGTCTACTATCAGTCTCAAACGAAAGAAATCACGGAAGAGGGTAAAATGGATAAGTCAATTCATATCAACCATTGCAACTGAACACAAAATTCAAAGCACATGGCTCATCACTGCTTGTGGGCAGGGAGGGTCCATCATTGGTAAATGGACACTCTGTAAATATTATAAATACTAGGTGATGTCTAACCTGGACTTTTTTTCCCCCTTGGTCCTCATTTTATAGAAGCAACTGGTCTAGCCAGCATCCTAGATAATTGCCGTGGATGAGTTGGCCTACCCCCATGTTGAGGCAGGGATTAGCTGGAAACCCCTACAGCATCCTCTCCAGGAGAATTCTGCAAGAACCTCTTGCTTGTGCTTTTCCTAATTTAAACAGTTTGCACACAGCAAATGGCTGCAGAGGGAAGTGTTTGCTCCTTCAAGTTACGGGTTATGCTGGGCTCCCGTCACACATAAACAAGGAGAACTTTGATTTTTTTTGCTTCTGTAGCTCTCTTTGGAATAAAGGTGGGATCTGGATTTGGGTCCAAAAAGCATCCAGGGAAATTACCAGAGCTAGATTCCACTGTGGAAGGTGGGAGTTCTTTTGGCATGAGGTGATGGTTTTGAGTTATGATGTCATTGGATGATGTCTGTCTCCCTAGATGACACTTCTAGAGGGCAGCATTGCCATCAGTGGAACCTTTGCTTATGTGGCCCAGCAGGCCTGGATCCTCAATGCTACTCTGAGAGACAACATCCTGTTTGGGAAGGAATATGATGAAGAAAGGCAAGGAATGTTTGGCCTCTGTCATGCTTTCCATCTTGGCCGTGTGAGATGCAAGGCAGCCCTAGTCAGCAGCTCCCACCGTGTCCCTGACGCTGTCTCTTTGTGTCCTCCAGGTACAATTCTGTGCTGAACAGCTGCTGCCTGAGGCCTGACCTGGCCATTCTTCCCAGCAGCGACCTGACGGAGGTACAGGCCTTCTGCCCCTGACCAGGCATTTAGCAGAGTGGTGGAGCTGGGCCAGAGCTGCTCCTGGGAGTGCATCTGAAGTACTTGGGAGAAGAGCCTCACAGGGGGTTAGGCTGTCATTAGGCCTTTGTGTTAGGAAAGCATCTGTTAGGGCAGGGATGTTAACACTGCTTGTTTTAAGGTGGTAAGCATTTTCTATGTCTTGGGGATTTTAAACAAAATCCCGTTGTTGACTCAGAGTTGTTTTTTACTCTATCCAGATATTTTTAAAACTACAAGTAAGCGTGTGCATGTTGAGCTTCTTCCTTGAACTTGATTTTGTCAATCTCCTTAACTCAGATAGTTTGTTTAGAAAGAGCCCTTAGAACAAATCCACATTTCTCTGGGTGTCTGTCCTGCAGCGGTTTCCAGAGGCGTGTCTTTGGAACTAATTTGTGCTCTTCAATGTTAAAACTTGTCTCCCATGAATTGCCCTGAAGGTCTCTGGGATTGGCACCTTTATTTAGCTGACTTCAGTTAAATCCCTCAAACCAGATTTGGTGAATGGTTTAATTACTTTAGAGATCCTTAAATCCATGTCCCCAGATCAGCAGCATCAGCATCAGCATCACCTGGGAACTTGTTAGAAACACAAATTCTTAGGCTGTTCTCCAGACCTACTGAATCAGAAACTCTAGGGGTGGAGCGCAAAGGTCTGTTTTAACAAACCCTGCAGGTAATTCTGATGCAACGTCCAGTTTGAAAACCTCTGAATTAATTGAATATTTGACAACTGATTCATTCATTTGATCATTTAGTAACATTTATTAGGTGCTTATTATGTGCCAGTGACATGTGCAGACACTGTTTGGCACTAAGAATATAAAGGAATAAGACAATAATCTGCATGTAAAGAAGTGTACAGTTAAGAGGATGAGATACCCAAACAAACAGGCACAAAATAATCTGATGGAAAAGAGCCCCATCTCTTTGGGGTACTAGCGGGAAGGAGGTTAGGGGAGATTTCAGAGGAGATGATGCCAGAACTGAGCAGACAAAGTAGAGGCAAGCACATGACATTGTCGTGTTCATAATATACACATAATTTCAAATGGCTTAGGTCCCAGGGTGTGGAAGGGGGATTGTGCACTGGAGGCTGAGAATTGCTGGGGAACTGGGTGGCAAAGGGTCTGGTTTGTATGCCATGTTTGGATAGTCGGGGTTTATCCTTTGGGGCTCTTGAAGAATTTTAAGCAGGGGTGGGAGATGGTCAGCTTTGTGTTCTGGAAAGCTCTTCCTGCCATGTGGAGAATGGATTGGAGAGGGGGCATCCGGGTGGAGTGGCAAGACCAGATGTAAGATTGATTGGTACCCAGATGGCAGTGGTAGAGGAACAGGCATCTGGGCAAACTCCCCCACTTCCTGGAAGGATCAGCGTGGCAGTTCATCTGCGGGGAATTGAGAGAAGGAGCTGGTCTGGGTGGGAAAGAAGAGAAGTGACTGGGTGACCCCTACGCGCTGTTCTGGACTGACTTGCGCTGGAGGCTTCACCACACTTCTGGGCTCTTGTAGATTGGAGAGCGAGGAGCCAACCTGAGCGGTGGGCAGCGCCAGAGGATCAGCCTTGCCCGGGCCTTGTATAGTGACAGGAGCATCTACATCCTGGACGACCCCCTCAGTGCCTTAGATGCCCATGTGGGCAACCACATCTTCAATAGTGCTATCCGGAAACATCTCAAGTCCAAGACAGTTCTGTTTGTTACCCACCAGTTACAGGTATGGTGCTTTCTTCTCTTGGCTGCCTGCCTGACTTTGGGAAATCAAAAACAGGGAGGTAGGTTTGCTCCAGGTATCCTTGTGTTATAACTAGAAATTCCTGGAATCAAGGTTTCATTTTCTTGGCAAATTAGCCCCCTGTACCAATAAAGCTCACTGTACCAGTGTAACAGATGGCCATCTAAATCAGAGATCCTTGGAGCATATCAGCTTCTGCATATAGATCAGCAAGCAAAAGGGCTGAGAGGAGCGGGCCAAAAATGGAGTTTGAGTATAAGATAGTTTGGAAAGCATTGTGTTAACATCTCTATGCAAGTGGGAACTGTTTTGGGAAAACAAGCTTTTCTCCCTCTGTCATTCCATGATAAGTAGCCACTTTGGAGAGCAGCTCAAAGATGTTGCCATCTGGTTCACATATGTTGTCACGTTTGGGGGGCAAACCCTCCATTCTGCCAAAGACAGTCATAATTTTGTGTATTTGTGAGTGCAGTGAAAGGGTGTAAATTTAATGCAGGGCTCATATGGCACCATCAGCAGATTCATGTGAAAAACTGGAGGAACTCGGCCAGGCGTGGTGGCTCACGCCTGTAATTCCTGCACTTTGGAAGGCCAAGGCTGGCGGATCACCTGAGGTCAGGAGTTCAAGACCAACTGGTGAAACCCCATCTCTACTAAAAATACAAAAATTATCCCGGTGTGGTGGCACATGCCTGCAATCCCAGCTACTCAGGAGGCCGAGGCAGGAGAATCCCTTGAACCCAGGAGGTGGAGGTTACAGTGAGCTGAGACTGCACCATTGTACTCCAGCCGGGCCACAAGAGCGAGACTCCATCTCAAAAAAAAAAAAAAAAGAAAAAGAAAAACTGGAGAAACTGCTCCTTATACTATGTCACGAGGCACAATACACTAAAGTGGGGTTCTCAATGTTGGCACCACTGACATTTTGGACCAGATAGTCCATTGTTGTGCGGGGCTGCTTTGTGCACCCCTGGCCTCTAGCCGCTAGATACCAGTACAGACAGTCGCTGGCTTATAGTTCAACTTACAGTTTTTTGACTTTATGATGGTTCCCATACAACCATTCTGTTTTTCACTTTCAGCGTAGTATTGAAAAAAATTACATGAGATATTGAACACTTTATTATAAAATAGGCTTTGTGTTAGATGATTTTGCCCAACTCTAAGCTAATGTAAGAGTTCTGGGCATGTTTAAGGTAGGCTAGGCTAAGCTCTGATATTTTCAGTTTACTTTGGGTTTATCAGGATGTAAGCCCATTGTAAATTGAGGAGCATCTGTGTACCTCTCCCCCAAGTTGTGACAACCAAAAATGTGTCCAGCTGGGCACGGTGGCTCAGACCTGTAATCCCAGCACTTTGGGAGGCCAAGACGGGTGAATTACCTGCATGGCAAAATGCCGTCTCTACTAAAAATACAAAAAATTAGGCAGGCATGGTGGTGCATGCCGAGGCAGGAGAATCGCTTGAACCCAGGAGGCAGAGGTTGCAGTGAATGGAGATTGCGCCACTGCGCTCCAGCCTGAGGTACAGAGCAAGACTCTGTCTCAAAAAAAAAAACGTCTCGAGATACTGCCAAATGTTCTGGGAGGTTAACTCGCCTCCTGTAGAGAACTACTGAACTAAGGTATGGATGTTTGAATGCATTTGCACAAATAGCGTATTGTATTGTCTCTGCCTTTGCCTTCAGTACCTGGTTGATTGTGACGAAGTGATCTTCATGAAAGAGGGTTGTATTACGGAAAGAGGCACCCATGAGGAACTGATGAATTTAAATGGTGACTATGCTACCATTTTTAATAACCTGTTGCTGGGAGATACACCGCCAGTTGAGGTAAGATCTGATGGTGTTTGCATGTGTCCCGTTCTCTCGCTGCAAGGGAAACACAGCTGGAGTGAATGATGGAGAGATCTCAGCTGAATCCAGTGTCTGTGTCTTATTGGCAGGGGCTCTGTTTTCTGGTGAACAGATTGCTATGCCTTAGTTCACATACTGATTCTGCTCTAGGAGAGCAGGATTGTGGGGCTGGTGAGTTGAGGTCTTCTGTCACTAAGAACTTACTAATATGACAATGGCAGGGAGAAGGATATGGGCTCAGTGAGGGCAGAGAAGATGTGTGCTGCTGTTCAGTCACAGTTTCATAAGCTCCATCCCCCTGATTGAAGCATTATGAAGCTCTTTTTAAATAAACAAGTGAATAAAGTGCCAAGGTAGGGAAATTAAATATTGCGTACATTTAAAAGCACTCAGATTGGGCGCTGTGACTCTTGCCTATAATCCCAGCATTTTTGGAGGCTGAGGTGGACAGATTGCTTGATCCCACGAATATGACACCAGCTTGAGCAATGCACATGGAGAAACCCTGTCTTTACAAAAAAAAAAAATACAAAAATTAGCTGGGCGTGATGGCGGGCACCTGTAATCCCAGCTACTTGGGAGGGTGAGGCAGGAGAATCACTTGAACCCAGGAGGCGGAGGTTGCAGTGAGCTGAGACTGCTCAGAGAGCGATCCCATCTCAAGAAAAAAAAAACAAAAAAAGACATAAGAGAAACTTGGAAAGGGGAGCACTAAGTAGTTTCTGTTGTCTCAGGTAGAACCTGAGGCTGTTAATATTGAGTTCCTGTGTGCCCTGTTACAGGCAGTTCTCAGGGGTAGGGCCTGTGTAGGTTGTCACCATGTGAGAGACATCATCTCTGTCCTAGAGGGACTCACAGTGTTCTAGGGAAGACCAATGTGTTTATGCTCTTACAAGCACTTACAAATGTGGCTTAGAACACCATATCACATGTATAGCACTAATGGAGTGCTAAGGGCAAATGGGAGGGTGAGCTTTCCAGGGAGTGTTGCCTCATGAAGAATGGAAGACTTGAATCTCTCTGAATGGGGACAACTGTGACTGTGATTGGGAGAAGGGGAGGGGCATTCCAAGTGGAGGAACAAGTGTGGACAAAGGTAGAGAAACGGGAAATTACAATGTGGTGTAAAGAATGGTGTGAAGTCCAGTGTGGCTTGAGAGTAGGGGCCGTGGACACCAGTGAGATGGGAGAGGAGCTTGCAGGATTAGGGTAGGGCCAGAATATGGAGGTCCTACAGAACCAGGCAGAAAAGCTTATGTTTATCGTGTGGTAGCGGTTGGAAATGATCAGATCTATATATTTGATTTAGTGATGTGGGGGCTCAGAGATAGTAGGAATAGAAATGACCCCATCCCTAAGACCCCGCCCCTAATACTTTGAACAACTTGGAATGGACAAGAACAGAATATAAAAGTTACTGTGTGTGGAGTTTAGTGGCTGGGGAGAGCAAATGTCAGCGGACTAAATTTTAAATCTTAAAAATTTAAGGAGATGAGGAAGTACAAGAAATGAGTATAGGTGACCCTTTTAAAAAGTTGGATGTATCTTTCTTCAGTAATAGCAGCTTGATTGATGATTTCCTAATGTGTATCCTGTGGACATTCATCTGGATGGCTAACGTGACTGGAGACTTTTTTTTTTTTTAATATTATTAGATCAACTCAAAAAAGGAAACCAGTGGTTCACAGAAGAAGTCACAAGACAAGGGTCCTAAAACAGGATCAGTAAAGAAGGAGAAAGCAGTAAAGCCAGAGGAAGGTAATGGCTTTTTTGAAATTTTTAGATTTGTCATCAAAGTTTATCAGAAATTACTTGTGTGGTAAGTAATCCATGATGTTTGATAGCAGTATGTGTACAATAGAAATACCTGGTCTTACAGTTCTGGAAAACAAAGTTCTTATATAATACTGGGAGACCACGAGGCACCTTCTTCAGACCCATGCCTTCTCCTCCTGTGCAGGATGGGGTCAGGTTTAGGTAATTAGAACTGAGTCATCCTGAGTAAGGAAAAATCGAATGGTCGGTACAGGTTCACCCTTCCATCCAGTGATTCACCTCAGCTCATGGAAAGTCCCAACCAGAGCAGAGGTGTTCTGGCTCTAAGAATACCCGTGTCCTCAGAAGTGCCCGTGTTAGGACAGTAGACTCATCACCTTGTCCTGACAATATAGCACCAGGATTATGAGTAAGAGTGACAGAGAGGGGTTTTTCCTACTTGGTGTTTCCTGTCCAGAGCCCTTGATCCTGTTTCTTAAGCCCTTTATGTTATCAACAGTAACAAATCTTGAGAGTTAAGGGAAGCTATTTGCAATAATGTGGGCATTTTCACCTTTGAATTTTAAGTTGCATGTCAATTTAAATACACACACACTATATATATGTGTGTGTGTGTGTGTGTTTACTGTAGAGATGTAGATATGTGTGGTCTTGTTTTAATCTCTCTGTTACTTCACCTCCTCACCTCACTGTTTTGAACCCAGGGACTTTCTTGGGTTTGCCATTGCTTTGGAGACAGGGCCTGTTGCCACTTCCTTATCCTTAAAACTGCAGGAGGTCAGGCATAGGTGGCTTACACCTGTAGTCCCAGTACTTTGGGAGGCTGAGGTGGGAAGATTGCTTGGGCCCAGGAGTTCAGGACCAGCCTGGACAGCATGGCGAGCCCCACTTCTCTACAAAAAATATAAAAATTAGCCAAGCGTAGTGTTGCATCCCTGTAGTCCCACCTACTTGGGAGGCCAAGATGAGCCACTGCACTCCAGCGTGGGGGCCAGGTGAGATCCTGACGAAAAAAAAAGGAAACTGCAGGAGATATTTGGTATCGGGAGTTGATCATTCTGACTTACTGCCTCTTTTATTTCTTTTTTTAAAAGGTATGGGATTTTGAATTCAGATGTGGTTTCTGATACCTTATTGACACACCCCAGAAAACAAACAGCACAGAAGGCTGAGACATTTGTTAGTTTTTACCATAGGCAGTAAAAATCAGAATATCATTAGCAAACATTTGTTCTTCTCTACATAGTCACTAACCTGGCTACTCACAACTCTTAAAGTCCTCGAGGCATGTGTGAGGGAGGCTTATTCCAAGATTTGTAAACATTATTTGGGTAAAGAGGGAAAAGCCAGATACTATGCTTAGTACTTGGGTGAGAGGATCATTAGTAACCCAGACCTCAGCGTCACGCAATATGCACACAGATCTGCATGTAACAGATGTAACATACACACAGATCTGCATGTAACAGATGTGATATACACACAGATCTGCATGAAACTGGTGTGATATACACGTGGATCTGCATGTAACCAATGTGATTTACACACGAATCTGCATGTAACTGATGTGATATACACACAGATCTGCATGTAACTGATGTGATATACACACGGATCTGCATGTAACAGATGTGATAGACACACAGATCTGCATGCCAACAAATGTGACATGGATCTGCATGAAACCCGATGTGATTTACACATAGATCTGCATGCTTGATGTGATATACACACGGATCTGCATGTAACAAGTCTTGATAGACACACAGATCTGCATGTAACAAATGTGATACATGGATCTGCATGAAACCGATGGTTACACACGGATCTGCATGTAACTGGTGTGATATACACATGGATCTGCATGTAACTGATGTGATATACACACGGATCTGCATGTAACAGATGTGATAGACACACAGATCTGCATGTAACAAATGTGATACAGCTGGATCACCATGAAACCGATGTGATTTACACACGGATCTGCATGTAGCTGGTGTGATATACACATGGATCTGCATGTAACAGATGTGATATAAACACAAGGTCTGCATGTAACAAATGTGATACATGGATCTGCATAGAAACGATGTGATGTACACAGGATCTGCATGGAAACCGATGCTTGATTTACACAGATCTGCATGGAGACGTGTGATTTACACACGGATCTGCATGTAACAAATGTGATATACACATGGATCTGCATGAAACTTATGTGATATACACACAGATCTGCATGTAACATGATATGCACATGGATCTGCATGCAACAGATGTGATATACACACGGATCTGCATGTAACGTGATACGCACACGGATCTGCATGTAACGTGATATGCACACGGATCTGCATGTAACAGATGTGATATACCTGAGATCTGCATGTAACGTGATATGCACACGGATCTGCATGTAACAGGGATCTGCATGTAACTGGTGTGATATACACATGGATCTGCATGTAACAGATGTGATATAAACACAGATCTGCATGTAACAAATGTGATACATGGATCTGCATGAAACCGATGTGATGTACACACGGATCTGCATGAAACCGATGTGATTTACACACAGATCTGCATGGAACCGATGTGATTTACACACGGATCTGCATGTAACAAATGTGATATACACATGGATCTGCATGAAACTTATGTGATATACACACAGATCTGCATGTAACATGATATGCACATGGATCTGCATGCAACAGATGTGATATACACACGGATCTGCATGTAACGTGATACGCACACGGATCTGCATGTAACGTGATATGCACACGGATCTGCATGTAAAAACCGATGCTTGATTTACACACGGATCTGCATGTAACTGGTGTGATATACACATGGATCTGCATGTAACAGATGTGATATAAACACAGATCTGCATGTAACAAATGTGATACATGGATCTGCATGAAACCGATGTGATGTACACACGGATCTGCATGAAACCGATGTGATTTACACACAGATCTGCATGGAACCGATGTGATTTTACGGATCTGCATGTAACAAATGTGATATACACATGGATCTGCATGAAACTTATGTGATATACACACAGATCTGCATGTAACATGAAATATGCATGGATCTGCATGCAGCAGATGTGATATACACGCGGATCTGCATGTAACGTGATAAGCACCGCGGATCTGCATGTAGCATGGTATGCCTGCGGATCTGCATGTAACAGATGTGATATACACGGATCTGCATGTAGCGTGATATACTGCGGATCTGCATGTAGCAGATGTGATATACACACGGATATGCATGTAACGATGTGATATACACACAGATCTGCATGTAACAGATGTGATATACACGGATATGCTGTAACGTGCCGATATACACAGGATCTGCATGCGTGATAGCCGCAGCGGATCTGCATGTAACAGATATGATATACACGGACCATGTAACCATTGCTTGATATACCCTAGCGAATCTGCATGTAGCAGTGATATGCACATGGATCTGCATGTAACAGATGTGATATACACACGGATCTGCATGTAACTGATTCTTGATATACACAAGGATCTGCATGTAACGTGATATGTACGGATCTGTATGTAACAAGTGATACACACGGATCTGCATGAAACTGATATGATTTGCACTTGAGTCTGCATGTAACAGATGTGATTTACACACGGACCAGCATGTAACTGATTTGATATACACACGGATCTGTATGTAACCGATGTGATATACACATGGATCTGCATGTAACAGATGTGATATACACACAGATCTGCATGTAACAGTTCTGCAGATGTACTCCCTAAATCCTAAGAGTAGAAGTTCAAAAACAAAACAGGAGAGAAAAGCTTACTGTATAGCTGTTTCTCTTGCAAATGAAAAATTAAATTCTGTGCCCTGTAACTAACTGAATAAACTCTCCTCTAGGCCAGGTACCCATGGAACCTGAAAATCTGTTCAGACCATGGGATCTGCATGTAACAGATGTGATATACACACGGATCTGCATGTAACTGATGTGATATACACAAGGATCTGCATGTAACGTGATATGTACACGGATCTGTATGTAACAAATGTGATACACACACGGATCTGCATGAAACTGATATGATTTACACGCAGGTCTGCATGTAACAGATGTGATTTACACACGGACCAGCATGTAACTGATTTGATATACACACGGATCTGTATGTAACCGATGTGATATACACATGGATCTGCATGTAACAGATGTGATATACACACAGATCTGCATGTAACAGTTCTGCAGATGTACTCCCTAAATCTAAAATGAAAGTTCAAAAACAAAACAGAGAAAAGCTTACTGTATAGCTGTTTCTCTTGCAAATGAAAAATTAAATTCTGTGCCCTGTAACTAACTGAATAAACTCTCCTCTAGGCCAACGGTACCCAATGGAACCTGAAAATCTGTTCAGACCATGAAGGCAAGACAATGTTGGATGTGCCTTATTATACTCCCCTGCCTTTAGAGTTCAGGCACACAACTGACCAACATTAACTTTTATACAGAGATCCTAAGATGCTTTAACATTTATATAGAGATCCTAAGACTGACAGAACAGTCTCTTTGTAGCTATAAGATACCTAATTCCAACCTGACTCTGTTAAAATAATAGAGCATCACATGACAGATAGCAGGGCCCTGGAAGAAATGCATATTTTGAAATGTCCCTGTAAAGCTGTCTGTTGAAGGGGAAATTCTGCATTCTGTAGAGAATCTCTTTCCTTTACTAGGTCTCTCCAGAGGTTCTGACACCTTTGATAGGAGACATTCACATCTATTCTCTCTGAAGTCTGCTACTGGGAGGCTTCATCTACATGACAAGAGCCTTGGCGTCCACACCCTGTCCCCCACCACTCCCTGACTTACTTACCTCAAGCTAATTTCAACTCTTTAGGCCGAGCTTAGCCCTTTCAACCAATTGCCAATCAGAAAAAAATCTGAATTAACCTTTGACCTGTAAGCTGCACCTCCCTGCCCCATGTTGCCCCACCTTTCTGGATCAAACCAATGATTACCCCACTTACATTGATTGATGTCTCATGTCTCCCTAAAATATAAAACCAAGTTGTAATCCAACTGCCTTGGGCCTGTTCTCAGGACCTTCTGAGGCTGCTTCACTGGTCATGATCCTTAACCTTGGCAAAACTAACTCTTAAATTGAGACCCGTCTCAAGATACTTGGCTGGTTTACACTCTGTATTTTCATATTAGCGTCAGGAATCTGACTGCGCCAGGGAAACCCTCAGGAATATATTTGAACCTTTTCTGTCCTCCAGCAGCCAGCCAGTTACTATGTCCTACTGAATTTACTCCCAAAACTCCATCCCACCACCACAACCCTAGTTCAGGCCTTTATCATCTCGTATATACAGTGTTACAGCTGCCTCCTTTTAAACTTGTCTTCCACACTGTCAGCTGCGAGATCTAGTTAAAAACATGAGACCAGCTCGGTGCAGTGGCTCACTCCTGTAATCCCAGCACTTCAGGAGGCTGAGGCAGGTGGATCGCCTGAGGTCAGGGGTTCAAGACCAGCCTAGCCAACATGGTGAAACCCTGTCTCTACTAAAAATACAAAAATTAGCCAGGCGTGGTGGCAGGCACCTGTAATCCCAGCTACTTGGGAGGCTGAGGCAGGAGAATTGCTTGAACCTGGGAAGGTGGAGGTTTCAGTGAGCCAAGATCACGCCACTGCACTCCAGCCTGGGTGACAGAGCGAGACTCCATCTCAAAAAAACAAAAACAAAAAACCAAAAAAACAAAAACCATGAGACAGCCAACTTTTCTGCATAGAGTCTTTCAGTAACCTTCCATTTTCAAAGCTACATTTTCTGATCTTTTTCCTGATAGGGCACACATAGAAAAAGCTCTTTGTGTGGAACACGGGAGGCATGAAAGAGGCTGCTCGCTCCCAGAGCCAGCTGCTCTGGCAATATCGGCCATCCCAGGTCCATCCTAGCCCAACGGAAGTCAGACAAACCTGTCACCCTTTCTCTTGAGAAGTTCTTTGTGGGGCCAAAATTCAAAGCCTTCTGTGACCACAGCCTGCTTAGTCGGCCTCATCTCTTGCCACTCTTTAAGTGCACATCTGTTCCAGCTGTGCCGAATCACTGTGGTTGTGTGTTTTGCTACCCCTGTGCCTGTGCTCATGTTGTTTTCTCTGCCTGCTATCTCTCCTCTCCCCACCTGGTCACCTGTGGGTTACCTTTTGAGAAGCAATACAGAAAGTATTACCTGAAACATGTCTGCCAACCACCCCCACCTAAGCCAAATAGGTCAAGTATACCTCCCAGGGTTTCCCATGCTGCCCTGCATATAGCTCTTATCATCACATTGAGCACATTTTACTATAATTATGTGATTACTGATCTGCCTATCCTACCAGTCTGTGGTAGGTTCCTCAGCCAGGTCCCTAGGGGTGGGGACCTGGTCTTCATCCTGTTTACTGCTCCTGGACTTCGTCCTGGGCCTGGTTCATGGTAGGTGCTCAGTAAATGTTAAATAGATGAATGAATGCTTCTGACAAAGAGGAAATTGAATCTAGAGCCCTGTGAAGCTGCAGGCTCTCCGATTCTGCTGCTCTGCAGGTGACTTAGTTTTGTGGAAATAGTTCTTCCCTTCTGAGTCCATGTTTCTTTTTTCCTTACCTAGGACAGCTCGTGCAGCTGGAAGAGAAAGGGCAGGGTTCAGTGCCCTGGTCAGTATATGGTGTCTACATCCAGGCTGCTGGAGGCCCCTTGGCATTCCTGGTTATTATGGCCCTTTTCATGCTGAATGTAGGCAGCACTGCCTTCAGCACCTGGTGGCTGAGTTACTGGATCAAGCAAGGAAGTGGGGTAAGGTTACTCATAAATCGGAAAGTTCTGTGTCTAAGAATGTGGCTATTTCTCCCTATTCCCTGGCTATTCTTAGGGAAACTGTTCTAGTTTTCACTTAAAAACCATGAAGAGAGATTTTTCCAGGATGAAAAGATGAGTCCCTAATGTAGCCTCACCATAAAGAAAAAAACCCGAGCAACCCACAGGGCAGTAGGGCATGTCAGTAGGACACCTGCAGGCTATCTGCTCTCATCCATTAGATATTAGTCCATTTTTGCACTGCTATAAAGAAATACCCAAGAGTGGGTAATTGATAAAGGAAAGAGGGTTAATCGACTCACAGTTCCACATAACTGGGGAGGCCCCAGGAAACTTACAATCATGGTGGAAGGCAAAGGAGAAGCAGGCACCTTCTTCACAAGGTGGCAGGAGAGAGAGAAGAGAGCATGTGTGTGCAGGAGGACATCTTAAACACTTCTAAAACCGTCAGGTCTCGTGAGAACTCACTGTCACGATGAGAACAGCATGGGGAAACCACCCTATGATCCAGTCACCTCCCACCAGGTCCCTTCCTCAACACCTGGGGATTACAATTCAAGATGAGCTTTGGGTGGTGACGCAAAGCCTAACCATATCACATTAGAATGGTGAGAAAGAGGGCTAGGTGTGGTGGCTCATGTCTGTAATCCCAGCACTTTGGGAGGCCGAGGCAGGCGGATTACTTGGGGCTAGGAGTTCGAGACCAGCATGGCCAACATGACAAACCCCCGTCTGTACTAAAAATACAAAAATTAGCTGGGCATGGTGGTGCACACCTGTAATCCCAGGTACTTGGGAGGCTGAGGCATGAGAATTGCTTAAACTTAGGAGGCAGAGGGTGCAGTGAGCCATGATTGCGCCTCTGCACTCCAGCCTGGGTGACAGAGCGAGACACTGTCTCAAAAAAAAAAAAAAGATAAAGAGGTGGACAAAGCCATGGCCAGGTCTCAGGGTCATTATCCTGTACCCTGCCCTGCCCTTGAGCTGAGAATGGCGCTGAGCAGGGGCTCTTGGCAGTCTTTAGGAGTCTTGTCTCATAGAGCTTTGGCTCCAAACAGAACACCACTGTGACTCGAGGGAATGAGACCTCGGTGAGTGACAGCATGAAGGACAATCCTCGTATGCAGTACTATGCCAGCATCTACGCCCTCTCCATGGCAGTCATGCTGATCCTGAAAGCCATTCGAGGAGTTGTCTTTGTCAAGGTATGCAGTGGTGGGTGGTGTCTGCCCTCCTCCCTGGTGACCTGTGGTCAGGCTTCGGTGTGGCATCCCTCAATTAATGCTGAGTAGGAGAGCTCCCTTAAGCAGGATGGCCCTGGCTGAGATGACTCATATTCCGTTAGCCTTTGCCTTTTCTCACTTGCCACCTGTCCCTCCTGACCCCTCGCACCTCCCCGCTTTGGGAGAGGATGTGCTGTGGAGCGGTTCTTTGGACCAGTAGGAACAGAGCCGTCCTGGGCCCTGACCACTCTGTGCTCTGCTCCTCAGGGCACACTGCGAGCTTCCTCCCGGCTGCATGATGAGCTTTTCCGAAGGATCCTTCGAAGCCCTATGAAGTTTTTTGACACAACCCCCACAGGGAGGATTCTCAACAGGTTTTCCAAAGACATGGATGAAGGTATTTCTCACTGAGCCTTTTTTTTTAATGCTCTGGAGCTCACTGTGCTTCCAGCCTTCTAGATGATTCTCCAAATGTGCAGATCTGTCTGTCTGTAGATCCTGAGAGCACGGTAGCTGCTGGTGTTTTCACCAGGAACATTGCATCTGCGTTTTCTGTCTTGTTTGACCTGAAAACAAATTCAGTGGTTTGAGTTAGCAGAAAGGCTTTGGACAGACGCATCTGAGATTCTGAAACACACACAGATGTTAAAGCAATGCATTGGTTTCTGGATGTCTACAACCTGGCAGGTTTTCTGGATGTTGTATGGGCTGTGCCTGCACCAGAACTGAAATACTGTACCCTCACAGTTCAGAGTAACAGTAAAGCCCCTGACATTGATGGAGGGCTTCCTGTGCAGCAAGCAGCGTGCTCAGTGTTTTATGCATGTTATCTTAATCCCTGCAGCAGCCCTGTCTCGTGGGTGTTGTTTCACTCCTTGAATACATGAGAAAGCTGCTATCTGGAAAGGTCAAGGAACTGGCCCAAGATCTACAGCTATTAAGTAACAAAGCTGGAAATTGAGCCCAGATCTTTTGACCCCAAAGCTAATGTTTTTAATTGCTGCACTATAGCTGCCTTCATAGAAGGAGTGTGTTTCAGGCATTGATAGGCCATTGTAAACCCATGGCCAGAGGTAACAAGGAATCAGAACTATCCCTGATATTCGTACTGATGCATAACATGTTCCCATTTCTGCTAAACACACATATGTGTGCTCACACATGAATGGAAAAAAGAAAAAAAGTAAATAATAGCAGCATATCTGGGATTTGCATGAAAATACTTCAGCCAAAAGAAAAAAGGGGGTGTGGTGGGGAGATAGCCAAAAAGAGATGAAAGTTGATTAACTGTTGAAGGGTCTGTGCTCTTCCTTTAACTTTTGTGTATCTTTAAAAATTTTGCAAGACAAAAAATGTCTTAAATGTTAATGGCAGTTCATTGGTATTGGTAAGAATATAGTTTTTGTTTTCTTCTTCACATATTTATATTCCAAATTTTTAAAACAAGCATATGTTACTTTGTAAAGGGGGAAAATGTTTAAACCCATGGGGCAGGAAGCAAACCAAGAAAAGGAGTGGAGTAAGAGGATTTTCTTGAGACCAAAAAAAAAAAAAAAAAAATCAGAACATCCAGGTTTCTAAATTTTTCTTTGATCAGACTGTTTAAAGACAACACAAACTTCAGACAGAGATTTTGTGGAACCTCTTTTTGTTTTTTTCCATTTTCAGTTCCATTTTTCCAAACTGTCTGACACTTGCTGCTTTATTGGTTTCTGCAGTTGATGTGCGGCTGCCATTCCAGGCTGAGATGTTCATCCAGAACGTTATCCTGGTGTTCTTCTGCGTGGGAATGATCGCAGGAGTCTTCCCGTGGTTCCTTGTGGCAGTGGGGCCCCTCGTCATCCTCTTTTCAGTCCTGCACATTGTCTCCAGGTAAATAGGAAGCATTCATGTCTGCTGGGGTCACGGAGAAGCCTGAGTTGCTGGGCAGCTGCTGTGACACAGAGCTCATTCTCTCTCCAGGGTCCTGATTCGGGAGCTGAAGCGTCTGGACAATATCACGCAGTCACCTTTCCTCTCCCACATCACGTCCAGCATACAGGGCCTTGCCACCATCCACGCCTACAATAAAGGGCAGGAGTTTCTGCACAGGTTTGTCCTGATGGGGGCTACAGGCCTCAAAAGGGAGTCAGCATCCCAGCATTTGATACATGTCTGGGAGGCTCTTCAAGGCCAGAGATGGGGATTATAAAGCTCATTACCAAGGGTATTCATGATTTAATGGAATAATCTCTGATTAAAATCCAATTGTTTGGTGGGACTCCTTTCTGAGCAAGTGAGAAAACGAAAATACAGATTTGGCCGCGTGTGGTATCACGTGCCTATAGTCAGCTACTCAGGAGGCTGACGCTGGAGGATGGCTTGAGCCCAGGTGTTCAAGTCCAGCCTGGGCAATATAGTGGACCCCATCCCAAAACAAAATACAAAGAAAAAACCCCACAGATTAGGAGTCTATTGACCTTTGGTCCTGAAAAGCTATATTTCATAGAGTTTCGCTTTTTCTTTTAAGTGGTAAAAGGTAGTCATTGACATTTGAGTAGATTTTATTTAAGCATAGAGTATTGTTTATTTGTGAAACTTATATACATTTCATTGTGGAGCTTTGTATTAATAAGAGATTGGAACTAACTTAAATGTTCTTCAATATAAGACAGGTTGAATAAGCTATGGTATATCCAGAGTACTATGTGGCCCTTAAAAAGAATGAGGCAGCTCTATAGGTACTGATAGGGAATGAATATCAGACTGGGTACAGTGGCTCACGCCTGTAATCCCAGCACTTTGGGAGGCTGAGGTTGGTGGATCACCTGAGGTCGGGAGTTTGAGACCAGCCTGGCCAACATGGTGGAACCTTGTCTTTACCAAAAATACAAAAAAATTAACCAGGCGTGGTGGCAGGCGCCTGTAATCCCAGCTCCTTGGGAGGCTGAGGCAGGAGAATCACTTGAATCTGGGAGGCAGAGGTTTCAGTGAGACCAGACGTCGCCACTGCACTCCAGCCTGGGCGACAAGAGCGAGACTCTGTCTCAAAAAAATAAAAATAAAAATTTAGAATATCTCTGAAAGGATTTTTAAAAACCTGTTAGTTGCCACTGGAAGGGAGAACTGGGTAGCTGGAAGATGGGAAGGAGACAGACTTGACTTTTCCTGATGAACCTTTTGTAACTTTTAAATTTTCTATTCTGTATATATGTCGCCTATTGCAAAAGTTAGGTAACTATTTTTAGAGAGAAAATTTAGAATAGAACGTTTAGAAAAAAATATTTTCAAAATGTTAAATGACTCAGAAAAATAATTCCTAAACTTTAAGCGGAAAGTGAAATGTACCAAATACATACATGTGTATATACCTACACACAGTAAATGTAAGTGCATTGAAAAAAACTGCTGGGAGGAAATGCAACAGAATATCAACTCTGGTTTTAACAAGGTGATGAGATTATTGGAATTTTACATCTTCCTATTTTTATTGCATTTTCTAAATTTTCTCTAAAGATTACACATTTTATTGGAAAGAGGAAAAGTGATTTTTCAAAGCAAAGCACATCTGCGCAGCAGAACTTCCTGCTCTGGAGTTCTAGTTGTACATCGTGCACTGAGCCTTCAGAGGGGTCTGGTCTGCTCTCTGGGACCCCTACTGATGGCCATGCCATGCTCCTTCAGTAGCAGTCAAGGTTGCCTGAGTCCCTTTTGCTGTGGTTTAGCTCGCTTCTCCTGGTGCTTGGCTCCACAGCTGGGGAACAAGTGCCATTCTGCACAGTGGTGGTGTGAGCACACACTTACGGTGTTCCCATATTCACTCTGAGTTTCTTTTCCCTGGTCTTGAACCATTTCTGCTGTTGGAGTTTGTAACCTTTCTTTCTTTCAGAAAATGCCCTCTCAGCTAAGACATTTTTCTAAACTGTGACACAAGCCTCTTTTTTCAGTCTTTTCCCATACTTACTCTGTGCTGAGGTAGATGTTTTTCCCTAACATCTTTAATAGGATTTTTTTTTTAAAGAGTAACTAAGATTAGAAAAACTTAATGTCCTCCTGTGTATGTGGCCCAGAATACCTCCAGAATTCCTAGAATACCCTCCTTGAGTTTCCAGGGCATTCTCTTAGTTAGCAACAGGACGTATGTAAACATGTGCCCTCCATCCTGTGATCACTGAAGCTTTGACCGTGTGCGGGGTTGTGTGGTACTTTCTTTGCTCATTAGGTGTTGTCTTTCTCACAGGTACCAGGAGCTGCTGGATGACAACCAGGCTCCTTTTTTCTTGTTTACGTGTGCGATGCGGTGGCTGGCTGTGCGGCTGGACCTCATCAGCATCGCCCTCATCACCACCACGGGGCTGATGATCGTTCTCATGCATGGGCAGATTCCCCCAGCCTATGCGGGTCTCGCCATCTCTTATGCTGTCCAGGTCAGTCTCTGGGATAGGAGCGCCATCCTTGCTTGTTTGAGTCCTTCCTGTGCTGACGTAAAAGAGGCATGATTGATGGAGGCTCCACCCTGAGCCGTTATTTCACCTCTGGACCCCTAGAGTTGCTTGTGGTCTGATTTAACAGTAACAATCTGGATTTGACTGGGGCAGGTAGGGATAGGAGAGAGGTAAGTGTGGAATCCAGGAATAAAGGAATTGAACTCTGTTGCATGTGTGGAAGAAATAGTTGCTATTTTCTTCAAAAAGAAATATGATCTTGAAAATAGTTTCTTACTTGTGGGTTTCTATGTTCACCACCATTTTCATCTCTGGCCTCTTTCTAGGCTTCTAAGAAATATTATAGACTCAATGTGCTTCTTATATGCATTTTCTTTTCAGGGACCTGATTTTCCCAATACTGTTATATACATAAACCCTTCTGGCCCCTAGGGATGATTGAGGGTCTTCAAATAGCTCAGAGAATAGTTGAGAACTTGATCACTGACTAGATATTTTAAGATGTTGAGTAATTATTATTACTCTCTAATGATATTGGAATTGTGTTTTTAAGGAGTCTATATTTTAGAGAGGTACAAGCTGAAATATTTGTGGATGAAATAAGCTATCTGTGATTTGCTTCCAAATAATATGGGGGGTGGGGGTAGGAATGGAAGGGAATACAGATGAAACAATATTGGCTGTAAGTTGATCATTTTTACAGTAGAGTTTTGATACCTGGGAGTTCATTATACTACTCTTTCTACTCTTGTGTGTTTGACATTTTTCTGTGTCGAAAAGATAAAAATAAGTAAGTAGTAAAAGGAACCCCAGAGATATATGTCTTCACAGATACCCCAAGATGTCCAGCCACATTTTGCAATTTATTTGACAATTGGTTGGGGAAGACAGTGTGTTATATAGACTGTTTTTAGACTCCCCAGTCTGTGGAGCACAGGGGCTCCAGATTCACTCATTTGCCAGCATTATGTATCTGATTTGACTTTCCTGGAAGCATTCTTACTAGTTGCTCATAGGTTGATATCTCCATTTGTTGTGACTCCCACAAACGGGCTCAGATACAAGTAGGAAGTCCGGAAGTGAATCAGCTGCAGATATGTGTTACTGAAATGTAAAGATGAATAGAAAGCCTTTGGGTACAAGAAAGTGGTTCCAGCAGCACCATAATACTGCCCGCATTCACTGAGCATTGCAGTTGATGGGGTAACAGGTATGTCTTCAAAGCTAAGAGAACGACTAGGTCCCTAAGACCAGCTGCTGCATGTGCTCAGTTCTTAGTGATCCTATAGATGAAGGAAGTTCTCCAGCATTGGCCTGCCACATATTGAAAATGAATTATCTCTTTGATTGTTGTTTTCCATTATCAGTTAACGGGGCTGTTCCAGTTTACGGTCAGACTGGCATCCGAGACAGAAGCTCGATTCACCTCGGTGGAGAGGATCAATCACTACATTAAGGTCAGAGTCAGACTGCTGTGGGCCTTTTACCGTGATCTGACTCCTCCTGGAGTCGGTTTACCCTTTGCTACTTCAGCTGGGTGTACAAGGAGGAGGCTTGTGTTCTCTGCGTATCTAATCCCGCAGAATCTCCAGCAGTCTCTCCACCGTGCTTGGAATAGGGAAGAGATTACCTAAGAGTTTCTAAGTATATTTGTAATTTATGTCGAGTTGAGAACTTCATTGGCTAACTTCCAGAACGTTCAGAATCTTGTCAGTTCAGCTTAACTGACTAATGGAGCATTTTCCTTGCACTGTTTAAAACCATGTATTGTTTTAATTCTTACTGTAGTCCAATTGTTCTTAATCAGGATGGCCATCAGGATCCCTGAGCTTTTGACAGGACAAACGTGGCCTCAACTCTGGATTCTGTTGCAGTGAATTGGGGTAGGACCCAGGCTTCTATAGTTTGAAAAACTCTAGCTAATTCTAAACTGCTCTCCCAGCTTACAAACAAGTAAATTTAATTGATACTGAGAGTATCCAGCTCTTCCCACTTTTCCCCAGGAATCCCTTCTGTCTCGCCGTGGGTGGCAGGCATCTTGCTGCTGTCCTAATTGGAACTCAAGGCAATTTCCTACAGGGGTGTCTTAGTCCATTTCACACTGCTATAAAGAACTACCTGAGACTGGGTAATTTATGAAGAAAAGAGGTTTAAGTCACTCACAGTTCCGCAGGCTTAACAGGAAGCATGGCTGGGAGGCCTCAGGAAACTTACAATCATAGCGAAATGTGAAGGGGAAACAAGCTATCTTCCCATGGCAAAGCAGGAGAGAGAGAGAGAAGGTGGAAGTGCTACACACTTTCAGACAACCAGATCTCCTGAGAATTCATTATCATGAGAACAGCAAGGGGGAAATCTGCCCCCCGATTCAGTCATCTGCCACCAGGCCCCTCCCCTGACACATGAGGATTATTATACAATTCAAGATGAGATTTAGGTGGGGACACAGAGCCAAACCATATCAAGGGGTGTCCAATCATTTGGCTTCCCAGGGTCACACTGGAAGAAGACTTGTCTTAGGCCACACATAAAATAATACTGATGATAGCTGATGAGCTTAAAAACAAAATTGCAAAAAAAGTCTCATAATGTGTTAAGAAAGTTTACACATTTGTGTTAGGCCACATTCAAAGCTGTCCTGGGCTATGTGTAGCCCAAGGGCCGCAGACTAGACAAATTTGCTTATAAAGAAGCAGCATTGTAAGTAGTTAGATTCTCAAATTGAACTCAAATCTTAAGAGTTATCTATTTTATTGAACTGCTGTGAGACTTTACAAGCATCTGTGTCATTGTTTATGTGTGAAGAGTATATTCTGAGTTCCCAACACTTGACTTTGAAACATAGTTTTGAAAAATTAACTTTTTTCTTTTTTTCCTTTTTTTTTTTTTTTTTTTTTTTTTGAGAGAGGGTCTTATTTTGTCGCTCAGGCTTGAGTGCAGTGGCGTGAATACTGCTCAGTCCAGCCTCTGTCTCCCAGACTCAAGTAATCCTCCCACCTCAGCCCCCTAAGTAGCTGGAACTACAGGCATGCACCGCTAGGCCCAGCTCATTTTTGTATTTTTTGTAGAGATGGGTTTTGCCACGTTGCCCAGGCTGGTCTCAAACTCCTGGGCTCAAGCGATCTGCCTCTGCCTCCACCTCCCAAAATGCTGGGATTATAGGAGCCATAGTGTCTGGTCTGAAAAATTACTCTTTCACTTGGGAACTGAGTGTATGTAAACTGAATTTTCTCATAGAGATGTGTTTCACTGATTTGCTTTGACAGTGAACCTCCTTAGTGGTGGAATATTTCTTAAGCTTACAAATGAGTAACTTTCTTATTCTCAGAAAGGATGGCAGGTGGCTGCCCAGTGTATCTAGTAATAGCTCTTCTTTAATATTTAGAAATGAGCCTCTTTGCACGCTGTCCTGGTATGTAGATGACCTGTGTATGTACATATGTGCAGTGTTTGAGTTAAATGTTAGGGTTGGTGAGAGCCTCATGCTGGAGAGGTCAGGATTACGGTCAGTGGTGGTACAAAGTGGACTCTGCTGAAACCGGCCACATTTCAGAGGCCTGCCCTCCCACTGACTGTCCCAACACAGAGTCCTTCCAGCTTGGAGTTTTGGACTTCAGGCTTAAGCCCCCAGAATGCTACAGTCTTTGACCCTTACTTCCCCCATAAGGCTATATACTCCATGGACAATTGCCAGAGAGTTTTAAAAGATCATGAAATACGATTGCTGATGACAAAAATTACCCAAGCAGTTATATCACAGCATTTTGAGCTGGAATAGATTCTCAAGATCATCTAATCCAGTCTCCACAACTTGCAGATAAGAAACTACGATGCAGGAGAAGTGGTGATCTGTCCAAGTCACACAGTGGCAAAATTAGAATTAGAGTCTGTGTCTCCTGGATTGACCAAGATGTGCCAGAATGCCAGGATCCAATTAGATGTTCAGTAAATATTAGTTTTCTTCCACCGGATTTAAGCCAATGGTTATCAAATGGTAGAATCCTATCTCAAAGAATTTCAGTAAAAACTGCTATGGTGGCGTGGCGGGAGGCCTCGTGTCTGCCTGTGTCGGTTTTCCCTTGGCCCCCAAGGCAGCTTTGTGGAAGAATTCCTTGAGACAAAAGGTAGTCCAAACACCACTTCCCTCCCCAGGCTGCCGCTAGTAGCCATAACACTTAGTAGCCATTGTGCTCTGTCTCTGTCTAGTTTAGTGATAATAAGCATTTACTGCCAAGGGATTCTTTCCTAGCAAGGTGACAGGGTGGCAGCTACCTCGGTGTGGCTACTATGGTTGTCCTGGTTTTATTTCTCTGTGACAAAGCCTGCAGCTTCCCAAGAATCTGTGGTCAGTCTGAACCGGCCACTCCTGTCTCCCCAGACTCTCTCCTTGGAAGCACCTGCCAGAATTAAGAACAAGGCTCCCTCCCCTGACTGGCCCCAGGAGGGAGAGGTGACCTTCGAGAATGCAGAGATGAGGTACCGAGAAAACCTCCCTCTCGTCCTGAAGAAAGTATCCTTCACGATCAAACCTAAAGAGAAGATTGGCATTGTGGGGCGGACAGGATCCGGTAAGGATGTGCAAAGCCTTCTTTGAATCCATTGGAACGTAGCAGTTTATGAAATACCACTTTCATCCCTTTAAACCAGATCCTTGTTTGTTTGATAAGCGATTAGTGTCTCAGCCCCCACCGAAACCAATTTTCTAGGTTTATTGTTGACCCCGCTTTGTTGACATTGAGTGCTGTTCCCAGTCATAAATATGCACATTCTCAATGCAGAACACTGGGGCACACAGCCAAGTACGAAAGAGGAGCAGCACCCACAACTCTGCCACCCAGAGAGAAGCACTGGTGACATTTTGGTATCTTGTTAGGCTTCCTCTAGTAATATGTAGGTTTACAGAAATGAGGTCATTGACACGTGCTGTTTCATGACCTTCTTTTAAAACTGTCAGTCGGCCAGGTGCAGTGGCTCACGCCTGTAATCCCAGCACTTTGGAAAGGCGAGGCGGGTGGATCACCTGAGGAGTTCAACACCAGCCAGAACAACATGGTGAAACCCTGTCTCTACTAAAAGTCCAAAATTAGTCAGGTGTGGTGGCGCATGCCTGTAATCCCAGCTACTCAAGAGGCTGAGGTAGGAGATTGCTTGAACCCGGGAGGCAGAGGTTGCAGTGAGCCAAGATCATGCCACTACACTCCAGCCTGGATGACAGAGCGAGACTCCGTCTCAAAAAAAAAAAAAGTTGCAGTGAGCCAAGATCATGCTACCACACTCCAGCCTGATGAGATAGAGCGAGACTCCGTCTCTGCTCTTTCTTTTTTTTACGAAAAAAAAAAAAAAAAGGAAAAGAAATGTGTAAATGTAGATCCTTTAGATTTCTAGGGTCGGGACTTGAGTAATTTACTTCTTTTTTTTTGAGACGAAGTCTCACTCTGTCGCTAGGCTGGAGTGCAGTGGAGCGATCTCTGCTCACTGCAACCTCCACCTCCCAGGTTCAAGCGATTCTCCTGTCTCAACCTCTCGAGTAGCTGGGACTACAGGCACACCAGCTAATTTTTTTGTATTTTTAGTAGAGACGGGGTTTCACCATGTTGGCCAGGATGACCTCATGATCCACCCGCCTTGGCCTCCCAAAGTGCTGGGATTACAGGTGTGAGCCATCGCACCTGGCCCCTTTTTTCTCACTTTCATTCCTGAATAGCATTTCAAGGATTGAACTTGTCTTCTTTTACTGCCTTTTTATCCTTGTATAAGAGGTCTTTGATTCAGTTTTCATTAACTTTCTAGGCTGTATGCTTCTTTGGCATCAAAACTCTTCCAGCTTTTTACCTTGCCATTAAAAAAAAAAAAAGAAAAGAAAGAAAAACGCTTTTATCTTTTCTGGCCGATTTATTTTAAAGAACTTTCTAAGGAAGAAAAGAAAAAAGCCATTTCCTCCTCTCTGTTTGAGGGAATGACTTCATGTCAAAACAAGACATTGCTCCAGGTCTTTCATGCTGGAAGGGAATCTTCAGCCAAGCAGAGTGGCTGTCCCCAAGCCTTTTTACTGTTCTCTGCCTTGAGCCCCTCTGCTGCATTGGTCCCCGGGGGTACACGGCTCCCCTGAAAGCTGACCGATGTCCCTTGTTATGATTTCCCTTTAACACAGGTGAGACAGGCAAAACAGGCACCACAACTTCATTAAACAGTAGTTAGTGTCAGAAAAGAAATAAACAAGAAAAAGAACATAGCAGCCGGGTGTGGTGGTTCACACCTGTAATCCTAGCCCTCTGGGAGGCCAAGGTGGGTGGATCACCTGAGGTGTCAGGAGTTTAAGACCAACCTGGCCAACATGGTGAAACCCCATCTCTACTAAACATACAGAAAGTTAGCCGGGCGTGGTGGACATCTGTAATTCTAGCTACTCGGGAGGCTGAAGCAGGAGAATCTCTTGAACCTGGAAGGTAGAGGTTGCAGTGAGCTGACATTGCACCACTGCCCTCCAGCCTGGGCAACAAGAGTGAAACTCCATCTCAAAAAAAAGCCTGATTTACACTCTGTCTTAACAGAGCTTCTTCCAAGTTTCACGGGAAACTTGGAAACTCTTCTGTGGTCATTCATGTCAGTCGAGGACTTCACTGCCTTTCTTACCAGCACATTCCATCAGTGCAAAGATGGTCAGATTCAGAGGACTCTAAAGTCTTCCAGTCCAGGTGGTCCAAATCTACGTGCCTTTTGTTAAAGTGGAACAACTTGACCCATTGCTTCGAGCACCATTCCTTCCTTGGCTTAGATTTTTTTTTTTTAATTATTTATTTATTTAGAGACGGAGTTTCGCTCTTGTCTTGTTGCCCAGGCTGGAGCGCAGTGGCGTGATCTCGGCTCACTGCAACCTCTGCCTCCTGGGTTCAAGTGATTCTCCTGCCTCAGCCTCCCTAGTAGCTGAGATTACAGGTGCCCGCCACCACGCCCAGCTAATTTTTTGTATTTTTAGTAGAGACAGGGTTTCACTATGCTGGCCAGGCTGGTCTCAAACTCCTGACCTCAGGTGATCCACCCACCTCGGCCTCCCAAAGTGTTGGGATTACAGGCGTGAGCCACTGCACCTGGCTCCCTTAGCTTAGCTCTTAAAGCACTGCCTTGGCCCAGAGGGGGTGTCTCCCTCCCCTTCTTCTATCTGGGAAAGGGGCCAGGAACTGAATCCCCCAACTCTGAACAGAATCATTCTTTTCTTTTCTTTTTTTTTTTTTTTGAGAGACAGAGTCTCGCTCTGTCGCCCAGGCTAGCGTGCAGTGGTGTGATCTCAGCTCTGGAGTAGCTGGGATTACAGGCACATGCCACCATGCCCAGCTAATTTTTTTTTTTTTTTTTTAAAGTAGAGACCGGGTTTTGCCAAGTTTGCCAGGCTAGTCTCAAACTCCTGGCCTCAAGTGATCCATCCACCTTGGCCTCCCAAAGTGCTGGGATTACAGTGAACCACTGCGCCCACCGGCCTGGAGTCATTCATTTCTAGGAGAAGAACTATGCTGCTAGACAAACCAAGTTTCCTAACTTGTTTCTGGTAGAAGCATGTGGGGATTATTGCATTAGGAAGATGGGTCCTAATACAGCTTTTTCCAAGTTCCTGGGCGTTACTTCTTCCAAACTTTATGGGTGTTTTCAGGCTCCCATTAGGCTGTAAGACAGAGGTATGCCCAGGGGACAGATCCCGACAGTAGGGTTGTGGCTGTAGACACTGGGGCAAGGTGGGCTGTTTGTGCCCTCCATGAGTGCTGAAGAGACAGCGTCATGGTGATCTCGATGAGGCCCTCATGAGAGGTCTTTTACGACACGGAGGCAAAAGAAGGGTAGGAGGGTCAAGAACCAGGCGTTCGGCCAAGGAAAATGATTCAACAGCTAAAACACTGTAGTTCTAAATCTAAACCATGGAACCAAGTTGCAGAAAGGTAGACAGGACTATGGCAAACTTATTTTCTTTTTGGCACTATAGAGAGAGCACCTTTTAAATGTTTATATCCTTTGACATAGTAGTTTCAGATTCTTTCCCAAGGAAATCGTCTGAGGTAGCAGTGAAGTTTCAGCACTAAGATATAGGACACAACGTTATTATAAGTTTTACATAAACTAAATGTTCACCCTAAGAGGGCTGATTGATCAAGAATACATTCACATGATGGAATATTGCAACCACTAAAATTGTATCTTGAAAATGTTTTTTAAAATGGTTGACTGCCTGTTATACAATGCTTTTGTTTTGTTTTGTTTTGTTTGAAACAGAGTCTCATTCTGTTGCCCAGGCTGGAGTGCAATGATGTGATCTCGGCTCACTGCGACCTCCACCTCCCAGGTTCAAGCGATTCTCCTGCCTCAGCTTCCTGAGTAGCTGGGATTACAGGCACCTGCCACCATGCCTGGCTAATTTTTGTATTTATAGTAGAGATAGGGTTTCGCCACGTTGGCCAGGCTGGTCTCGAACTCCTGACCTCAGGTGATCCGCCCGCCTCAGCCTCCCAAAGTGCTGGATGGCGTGAGCCACCATGCGTGGCCAATACAGTGTTAAGTGAAAAAAAGCAATTACAATATTGCATTTCTGATACGATCTCAACTCTGAGGAAAGACTGAAAGGAAGTGTGCCCAAAATGATAGAAGTAAGATTATGGGAGCTTGATGATGTTATCTCATAGTACTTATGTAAAACTTTTCAAATGAAGATTCGGTTAACCCGTTCTGCTGACCGCTGTAATAACACTGGTCCCCCAAACCTGTTCTCTGCCATAGTTTCCTGTCACAGTAGAGCCATTGACAGCCACTCATTGAGTCGAGGCAAAACCTCCTTCCCGTGCGTGTTTGTTTATCCCTGGAACTTCTTCCATTCCCCAGCTGCTGCCATGGCAACAAGAGGCCTTGTCTTAGTCTCTCTCTCAGCTGTAATGAGGGGATAGGGAGAGAAAAGGCATCTTGTCCTCTGGTTTGCCCCTCAACTGCTTGCTGTAAGATCTCTGTTCTCCTGACTTTGCCTAAGAAGCATTCAGCTCTGTGCACCTGTTCCTAAGGTAACCAGGAAGCATTTTTCCATTTTACTTTCATGAAAATGGAATGGTCGGCCAGGCGCAGTGGCTCATGCCTGTAATCCCAGCACTTTGGGAGGCCGAGGTGGGCGAATCACAAGGTCAGGAGTTTGAGACCAACCTGGCCAATATGGTGAAACCCCATCTCTACTAAAAATGCAAAAATTATTTGGGCATGGTGGCGCGCGCCTGTAGTCCCAGCTACTTGAGAGGCTGAGACAGAAGAATCACTTGAACCTAGGAGGCGGAGGTTGCAGTGAGCCGAGATCGTGCCACTGCACTCCAGCCTGGGCAACAGAGCGAGACTCCATCTCAAAAAAAATGAAAATGGAATGGTCCCTTCCCCTCCTTCTCAGGATGAAGCTGTGTAATTTGAAGGTGTCTGTCTTGTATCTCAGGAAAGTTAATCACTTTTTTCTATCATTTTATACATTATCTCAGTTAATCAGTTGAAATAACAACTGAATAGAAATAGAAAAACAGTTGGCATTGCCCTGAGGCTAAACCAGCATTGTCCTCACAGAATTTGCTAACAGCTCCTCTCTCGCATGTCTTCTGACTCATCAGGGAAGTCCTCGCTGGGGATGGCCCTCTTCCGTCTGGTGGAGTTATCTGGAGGCTGCATCAAGATTGATGGAGTGAGAATCAGTGATATTGGCCTTGCCGACCTCCGAAGCAAACTCTCCATCATTCCTCAAGAGCCGGTGCTGTTTAGTGGCACTGTCAGGTGAGAACTTGAGCACGTGCATGCCTCGTGCCTCGCTTAGAGGCTGGGTGGGCATGTGGGACCACACGATGCTAGCACCACACCCTGGGACCGTGAGTTCACCATTTCTAGTCTGGTGCTTTTCCCACTACTCCATGTGCTTGCTGGTGCAGAAGGGAGAGGCAGCCCCACTGCACACGCCACTTGGTTGACTAAAGGGGACAGGGAGGCCTGCAGCACAGCGTTGAAGAGGCCAGAGAGATCTGGGCTCAGAGCTCTGCTCCGTGACTTCGGACAAGTTATTTAACCACTCTTGTGCCTGTTTCCTCGCCCATAAGATGGGGATGCTTTAAAGATCTGTTGCTGTGAAGGTTGAGTAAGTTCATGTACATTATATAAGCACAGGGCCTGGCAAATGGTAAGCATTCGGCAAATGGTGGCTGCTGTCATCGGCCTCAACAACGTCATCCTCACCTGCCTCCCACTCCATTCTATCATCTCTCCTAGGTGTGCTAAAAGTTGCAGTTTTTGTTTTTTTTTTTTTGAGTCGGAGTCTCATTCTGTTGCCCAAGCTGAAGTGCAGTGGCACAATCTTGGCTCCAGGCAACCTTCACCTCCTGGGTTCAAGTGATTTCTCCTGCCACAGCCTCCCGAGTAGCTTGGATTACAGGCGCCCTCCCCCAAGCCCAGCTAATTTTTGTATTTTTAGTAGAGATGAGGTTTCACCATGTTGGCCAGGCTGGTCTTGAACTCCTGACCTCAAGTGATCCATCCGCCTCGGCCTCCCGAAGTGCTGGGATTATAGGCATGAGCCACTGTACCCGGCCAAAAGTTCCAGTTCCAATGGTGGCTTTCAGGCATTATTACTCCTCATGTTATTTCGTTTTCTAGTGTCTTCTTTGATACTCTGGAATTATGTCGCTTTCTGAAATCTGCCAAGATGCCAGAGATAAAATCCCTGAGATTAAAACAGACCAAGAGATTAATCCCAGAGATAAAATCCCTGAGATTAATCCCAGAGATTAAAACAGACCAAGGAGAAAGCATCACATTATCTTTCCTAAGCTTACCTGATCCTACCTTTACCCTTAAGCTTCTCCCTCCTAAAAACAGTGGATTTCCATCATTTGTGTCCCTGTCTATTAAAAAATCATTCTAAAAGTAATTTTTAGCAGTTTTCAAAAAAATTGGTACCAACCTGATTTCAAATAATCATAGGCAGTGTTCTGACTTGTTTTAAAACTATCCCCTCTACCTTTGGAAATGGCATTTGAACTCAAGGAACTTTGGTAGATACCTTAGTCTTCTCAGGCTGCTGTGTATAACAACATACCATAGACTGGGTGGCTTAAACAACAGAAATTTATTTCTCTCAGTTCTGGAGGCTGGGAAGGCCGGGATGGGTGTCTGCTGAAGGCCCTCTTCCTGGTTTGCAGATGGCTGTCTTGTTCTGTCCTCACGTGGCCTTTCCTCAGTGTGTGCCTGTGGTGTGTGCCCTCGGAGAGGAGAGCTCTTGTGTCTCCTCTTCTTGAGGCCCCACCCTCATGATCTCATCTAAACCATGATCTCATCTAAACCCCTCCTTACAGCCCTACCTCCAGATACCATCATATTGGGGTCAGTGTTTCAACAATTTAATTTTAGGGGCACACAAACCTGTAGTCCATAGTAGTAAATCAGCAGAATTCTCACCTGTGTTTGTGTAGAGTCAACACCCTAGGGTATGTTTATTTTGGTATTTCTGTAGTTGAATCTGGACAGCATGCACTGTATCTGTGGTTGATAATAAACCATTCTCTTTGGGTATTGAGGTAGTAAGGTCAGACAAGCGATATCAGAAGAAAAGTAGAATTTATTGGCCAGGCGTGGTGGCTCATGCCTGTAATCCCAGCACTTTGGGAGGCTGAGGCGGGTGGATCACCTGAGGTCGGAAATTTGAGACCATCCTGACCAACATGGAGAAACCCCTTTCTACTGAAAATACGAATTATCCAGGCGTGGTGGCACATGCCTGTAATCCCAGCTACTTGGGAGGCTGAGACAGGAGAATCACTTGAACCTGGGAGGCGGAGGTTGTATTAAGCTGAGATCGCGCCATTGCACTCCAGCCTGGGTAACAAGAGTGAAACTCCATCTCTAAATAAATAAATAAATAAGGAAAATGTTGCCTAATTGGCTTTTCCCATAAATCTCTCTATTTTTAAATGCCACAGGAACACTTTGAAAAAAAAAAAAAATTGGCCTTACGATATTTGTTTTTGGCCATAAGAACTATTTTTTTTTAATCATCATTTGGAAGAGAATTAAGAAATAAAGCATGTTAAATTTGAGAAAATGCTGCCACCAAGAAGCCTCAGTTTTAATTTAAAAATTTTATAGCATTTCATTTGGGTTTGTGAATTGGGAGCTTCTAGAGTTAGTGGTTAAGAATTGACCATGATGCCGGGCTCAGTGGCTCATGGCTGTAATCCTAGCACTTTGGGAGGCCGAGGCAGGAGCATTACTTAAGCTCAGGAGTTTGAGACCAGCCTGGGCAACATAGTGAGACCACGTCTCTGCTTTTTAAAATAATATAAAATGTTTAAAGAAAAAGAATTGACCGTGGGCACGTGCAGCTGCTGTGGGTAGAACATCATAGACCTGTAGCTTTAGTGGAATTGGAACCATTTCTCTCCAGAGAAAGAAATGTTGGCTGCTTTGTGGCTAACTCAGTAGTTGGTACACTGCTGTCCTGGGTTTGTAGCTACTGAGCTTAGAGTGCAGCTTAGGAAGTCAGCTGTGCAAAGTGAGAAAATCGTTTCAGTTAAATTTTCTGCCAGCTCTAATTTTGGCTTTTTAGTCAGTAGTAGACACTGAGGAAAAATTAAATGCCAGACTTGTCCTTTATCCCCTAAGGTTTCCTTTTATCCTGTCAGGTTTCTTATGGATCCCAGAAAATGTTCAGCTCTTGGTATTCTTTTGTTTTTGAGACAGAGTCTCGCTCTGTCGCCCAGGCTGGAGTTTCAGCTCACTGCAACCTCTGCCTCCTGGGTTCAAGTGATTTGCGTGCCTCAGCCTCCTGAGTCGCTGGGACCACAGGCATGGGCCACCATGCCCAGCTAGTAGAGATGGGGTTTCACCATGTTGGCCAGGCTGGTCTCGAATATCTGACCTCAGGTGATCTGCCCACCTCAGCCTCCCAAATTGCTGGAATTACAGGCGTGAACCACCACACCCGGCCGGTATTCTTTTGCTTTTCTTAGAAGATAGAAAGCCTATGATGAGTTTCCCAAGGCAAAGGCAGGATACATGAGCTGTTTCCTCAGCTACCTCCTAGAGACTCTGAATCTGGAAACTGCGCCTCCACCACCATTAGCCAGTATTGAGGGTGGGTACCTCTTCTTGAGACACCTGCAAACAATTAAAACTTGAAAGGAACTCTTAGAGGAAAAGCAAGGTAAAACCAAAATCAAACCAACAAAACTCAGAAAGTCACAGGATATAAATTGCTGAGTTGTTCTGTGTACAAATATAATTAATCTAAATCATAGGCCAGATCATGTGGGACCACACCCCTTCCTAGATTAGCCAGAGTGTTGATCCATTCTAGTACCTGCATCCCAGACCTCCCTTACCTGCCCGTGTGGGCCTGAGCTCTCCGGCCTGTGTTTCTGCAGATCTCTATTGTTTTGCCCTCATGACTGGCTCCAAGAAGAGAGGCCCCTTTTCATCCAGGCCTTAAAACACGTTTGCTGGCCTCTGTCTCATGGCCCTAGCTTTCCCCACCTTCTCCCAGAGCTCCCTGTGCTTCCTGGACCCAGGAAACCCAGCCCTGGCCTCTGTCCTATCCCCCGCAGCTGGAGTGTTTTTCATCCTGAGGACTATCTGGAGCCTGGCTAGGCTGACGATGAGCTGTCCCTGGCTGTCACTCTGGTCTCTCTTGAGTCTTGGTCCCCTGTGAGTGACGGGTACCTTGTCTACTTGGAGCACTTCTGCCTGGTGCCCATTCATTAGCAAGAAACAGTGTTCGCATTTCGTCTTCTTCAGGTGCCCTCTCCTTTTGATCTGCTCATTAATTTTTTTTTTTTTTTTTTTTTTTGAAGCGGAGTCTCACGTTGTCACCCAGGTTGGAGTGCAGTGACATGATCTCTGCTCACTGCAGCCTCCACCTCCCAGGTTCAAGCAGTTCTCCCCAGTAGCTGGGATTAGAGGCACCTGCCACCACGCCTGGCTAATTTCTGTATTTTTAGTAGAGATGGGGTTTCACATTGTTGGCCAGTCTGGTCTTGAACTCCTGACCTCAGGTGATCTGCCCACTTTGGCCTTCCAAAGTGCTGGGATTAGCCATGAGCCACTGTGTCCCACCTGTCATAACCATCTTAATTGTATTTAACAAATGCTCAAAACTTCATGAGACAGACACCATTGTTATGCATATTTTATTTTACCAAATAGTGAGGTTTCACTGTGTTGCCCAGGCTAGTCTTAAACTCCCGAGCTCAAGAGATTCTCCCACCTCTGCCTCCCAAAGTGCTGGGATTATAGGCGTGAGACACCGCCCTTGGCCTTTATGCCTATTTTATATAGATGATGAAACTGAAATCCAGAGAGTGAGAGTAATTTGCCCAAAGACACACAGCTAAAAGTGGTAGAGCTAGGATTGGAACCCAGGCTGGCTGGCTGGCTCTACTCACTACACTCACCGCGTCGCCTCCTAAAGCATGTGTCACGACCCCACTATTAACCACAACCTTGATATTCCATCTCTCCAAAAAACAGTTAGACTTGCCTCTTTATGGATCTTGACCTTTAGTTACATTTCTTTTCCCAGCATCTTCAAAGTCTCATCTGCCTTCCTCATCTCAAAAACGAAAAAAGAAAGTCACCCAATCTATGCCTTTCTCTTTAGTCTTTTTTATTTGCTCTACTTTTGCTCTTAACTTTTTTCACCTAATCTGACTCTTAACAACTAAAAGCCACAATCAGTCCACATTTCTGCATACCTCAAAATAAGGTTTCCTTTAGCTTCCTGATAGAAGAAGGTACGTGAGTCCCAAAATCTCCTGCTCTGAAGACTGAGGCTGCTAGAAGCACCCAGCACAGATGACAGGGCAGCGTGGTTTACTACAGTGTTTTCTACTATATCCAGGGTGAATTGCTGTATTGTCTCACACTTTGGGAGATATTCTTGGCTTCATTTAGCAGTGGTCAGTGTTGACTATTGCTAAAAATAAAATATAAAGAACCAAAGATGAAAATGTACTTTTGGCAAGATAGGACTCCAGGGGTTCTGATTGTTAAAAATAACTGCCCTCATGTTCAGACACTTTTCTATCCAATCGCTTAACTGAAACCGTTTGATTAAGTGGATGCATAACTTTGCTTTCATTTCTGTCTGTGAGTCAGACCCAGGACCATCTGGCTTCTCTAATGAGGGAAGATATTTTTCCATTCCTGATTCAGCTCCCTGTTGAGGTGGGTCTGGTCTGCCTTACTGTGCACCACCTACCAGTGTATGCAAACATTCCTTTTCTATCTGGAACCCATTGTTTAGTGGTCTGAAGCTCCTTCAGCTGGTGTGATGGACCTGGGTGATTTGAATGTCAAGCCTGGGCTGGGCACAATGGCTCACACCTGTAATCCCAACACTTTGGGAAGCCAAGGCAGATGGATCACCTGAGATCTGGAGTTCGAGACCAGCCTGGCCAACATGGGGAAACCGTGTCTACCAAAAAATACAAGTTAGCCAGGTGTGGTGGCGCACACCTGTAGTCCCTACTTCTTGGGAGGCTGAGGCACAAAAATTGCTTGAACCTGGGGGGTGGGGCAGAGGTTGCAGTGAGCTGAGATGCTACTGCACTCGAGCCTGGGTGACAGAGCAAGACTCTGGCTCAAAAAATTAGAATGTTATGCTTGTTGTCATATTCACCCATAGAAAATCTGATAGGGCCAGCTACTCAGTGGGCAGGAGACTGCACTTTTGTGAACAGCAGTTCCTGCTTCTCCGTGGTTTCACTTTCTGCAGTTTCAGTTACCCATGATCAAGCGGGGTCTAAAAATATTACATACTATATTTTGTGAGAGACAGACCACAGTCAAATCATGTTCATTACAGCATATTGTTATAATTATTTGATTTCATTATTGTTAATCTCTTACTGTGCCTAATTTATAAATTAAACTTTATCATAGATATGTATATATAGGGAAAAAAAACTTGGCATTTATAGAGTTCAGTACTATTTGTGGTTTGAGGCATCTACCAGGGCTCCCTGAAGCATACGCTTGTGGATGACGGGGGACTCCATGCCTGCTGTTTGATCCAGCGGCATCTGATGGACTTACTCGCTGTATTTGTATCCTGGGGCTGTCACAAACAGTTTAAGCCACAAACTAGATGGTTTCAAACAACAGAAATTTACTATCTCACAGTTCTGGGGGCTGGAAGTCTAAAATCAAAGTGTCAGTTGGGCCATGCTGCCAGTGAAACCGGTAGGGAAGGACCCTTCCTTGCCTCTTCCAGCTTCTGGTAGTTGAGGCCATCTTTGGCATTCCTTGGCTTGCGGATGCACCCTCTGGCCTCTGCCTCCATCGTCACATGATGCCCTCCCAGTGTTTCTCTGCCTTCACATGGCCATCTCTCATAAGGACCAGTCATATGAGATTAAGGGCCCACCCTTCTCTATTACTGTGGTATGACCTCATCTCAACTAATTACATCTGCAAATTACCCTATTTCCAAAAAAGGTCACATTCTTAGGTACTTAGGTGTCTCTTGGGGAGACATAGTTCAACCCATTAAACTGTATAGTATTAAACAACACTTCCTAGGCCAGGGGTAGTGAGAAGTGAGCATGTTCCAAGCGGGAAAAATGCTGTGCAAAGGGCAAGAGGCACTGGAGAGCAGGGCGGGTCAGAATCTCCCAGGAGATCGAGAGATGCTCACAAAGCAGAGATGAGGCAGTGCCGGCCTGCTCTCCCCGTTTCACCAGAGTTCTGTGATAATGACGTGATTGTATTTGCATGCCTGTAATTAGTAACCCCAGGTATGGAGACAGGTGTGTGGCACAGGGCAAAAGTCCATGTTTCTCCCAGAGATTTTCCTGTTTCCCACATGCCAGGCATAATTTTATGAGCAAAGCAAATTATTCTTAATACTTTTCAGATTATTAGACCTCCAAATGTTATGTGTAGATCAAGACAAGACATCCACAATTACTGTAACATCCCAGTTTTCCACCAAATACCTGTTCCACCACCAGCTCCCCACCCTCATCCTCAGTGGCAAAGATAATTTTCTCCTGTCCTAAACATTTCTAGTCCTGGCCGGGCACAGTGGCTCATGCCTGTAATCCCAGCATTTTGGGAGGCCAGGGTAGGCTAATCACTTGAGCTTGAGCGCTGGAATTTGAGACCAGCCTGGGCAACATAGCAGAACCCATCTCTACAAAAAAATACAAAAATAACATGGCGTGCGCCTGTAGTCAAGAGGCTTAGGTGGGAGGATAGCTGGATCTCAGGAGGAAGACGTTGCAGTGAACCGGGATTATACCACTGCACTCCAGTCTGGGTTACAGAGACTAAAAAAAAAAAAAATCTAGTCTCGTTCTTTTGGTATCACCTCTGATTTCCTTGAGGTAGATACTGTTGGCACAGTAAACAAAAATGGCCCCCAAACTGGTCTTCTGTGCCAGGAAATTTCCTTTTTCTTGACTTGTCCTTTATTCTCTCTCTGCTTCTTCCTCCACCCTTCTACTGGATCAGTTTCTTTTGCTGGTCAGGCCAGCTGTCGTGGAGCCCCATGCTGAATGACAGGGCTGTGAACCAGGTAGACCAAGAGAAAGAGGGTGCTTTTCTAAGTTTGTATGTACGGAGAGATTTTTATTTTATTTTATTTTATTTTATTTATTTTATTTTATTTATTTTATTTTATTTTATTTTTTTATTTTATTTTATTTATTTTATTTATTGAGATGGAGTCTCACTCTGTCGCCCAGGCTGGAGTGCAGTGGTGTGATCTTGGCACACTGCAACCTCTGCCTCCCAGGTTAAAGCAATTCTCCTGCCTCAGCCTCCCAAGTAGCTGGGATTACAGGCACCCACCACCACGCCTGGCTAATTTTTGTATTTTTAGTAGAGATAGGGTTTCACCATGTTGGCCAGGCTGGTCTTGACCTCCTGACCTCTAGTAATCCACCTGCCTCGGCCTCCCAAAGTGCTAGGATTACAAGCACGAGCCATCGCACCCACCTGAAAGATGTATTTTAACAAATGCATGCACAGGAAAAAATCTAGAAGGATATTTGCCAATATTTGCATTTATAAATTGTTCTATAACTAGTATTATTTACATAGTAAAAATAATAAAAGAATAAATCAAGTTTTATGGAGATGAGGAGGTGGCCCATTGTGCAGTCAGAGCTCCCATCTGGCTGGTTGGGGAATGAGCCGTCTGTGATTGTCAAGGTTTGGAGTCTTCTCTCCCCGTGCATGTGTGTTAAACATCTTCCACAGACAGCCTTTGCCAGTAGGTCACTTCAGGGCGGGACCACTGAGAAATTCCTGTGTTTCTCCCTAGATCAAATTTGGACCCCTTCAACCAGTACACTGAAGACCAGATTTGGGATGCCCTGGAGAGGACACACATGAAAGAATGTGTAAGTGAAGAGCCTGGGGGAGCCGTGCTGGGATGGTGAGGGTGGAAGCACGGCAGTGCCATTGCCACACCCTGTCTGGTCTGGCTGTGCCGCCAGGATGCCTGTGGACGAAGGCTTCGTGGCAGGGCTCTCCAAGTCTTTCAGATACCTAGGAAAAGCTGATCTCTCCCAGTCCCACCTCCCACACTGCTCACAGTCATTTTGGCCTTGCACTATCCATTGATTGAAGATAGTAATGACAACTACTTAGAATTAAGTGATGCTTTTAATTTGTTTTATTAGTCATGACAGTGTAACATACTTTGAAGCATCCACATGTATGCAAAAGATACATAACGTGGCCAGGTGCAGTGGCTCACACCTGTAATCCCAGCACTTTGGGAGGCCGAGGCAGGTGGATCATCTGAGGTCAGGAGTTCAAGACCAGCCTGACCAATATGATGAAACCCTGTCTCTACTAAAAATACAAAAATTAGCTGGGTGTGGTGGTTTGCACCTGTAATCCCAGCTACTCAGGAGGCTGAGACAGGAGAATCGCTTGAACCCAGGAGGCAGAGGTTGCAGTGAGCTGAGATCGCACCACTGCACTCCAGCCTGGGCAACAAGAGCAAAACTCTGTCTCAAAAAAAAAAAGATACATAATGTATTGAGTCTGCATAAAGTACACAGTGTGCATAAGGGCCACAGACCTTTTGGGATAACTCAGTAGGCCCGCACGAGCAGCTGTAGTGTACAGATTGATACCCCTGGCCTGGGGTGAGGTCTCTGGTGTGCCTGGGTTGAGTCAGGCCTGGGATCCCCTGCCCTAATTCAACTATTAGTAGATGAGCTCTGTTTTTTCCTTTCCTCTACCGGGATTCCTCTCATTTGAAGAGTAAGTTCTGCAGCTTACAAAAAATGTTTCACAGTCACGGGCCTACAGCTTTGGACTTCAAAAGGAGAGTACTTTTCCTTACTCTGTTTCCTATTGCATGACCATATTTTCAGAACCAAAACTTAAGGCCCACTATCTGCCTGAATTTTGGGGACATGAAATCATTGGAATTTCTGGGATGTTTTAATGGTATAAAGCTAATAGAATAGTCTGTTGGAATCATGGACTGCCTTGGAAGTGGGTCCTAGTGCACATGATCAGTACACCTGCACCTTCGTTCCAGATGAGGCAGGTTCTTGGCTAATAGTTCTTTCATCTGTTTCAGAATAATTTCTTGTTGTCCTTGGATTTTCAGGAAATTCAGCTTAGTTTCTTACCCCTCCGATCTCTACTTTCCTTTTCCCTAGATTGCTCAGCTACCTCTGAAACTTGAATCTGAAGTGATGGAGAATGGGGATAACTTCTCAGTGGGGGAACGGCAGCTTTTGTGCATAGCAAGAGCCCTGCTCCGCCACTGTAAGGTAAGGCAGTTCGTGGTTGGCAGGGAAGGGGCAGCAGCAGAGAATGACAACGTTTTAGTGCAGCCTTTCCCTGACGCAGTGGGGTCCAAAGGTATTCCTGGCTGTGAACCCTGTTGGCACTTTCTAAGAGCATGGCCAGTAAGAACTCTAACCCTGACACAGTTTGGGTATATTGGGTTCGGGTATGTCGGGTTTGGGTATGTCAGGGTCGGGTTCGGGTGTGTGGGGTTCGGGTGTGTCAGGTTCGGGTGTGTCGGTTTTGGGGTATATCGGTTTGGGTATATTGGTTCTGGGTATATCGGGTTTGGGTATATTGGGTTTTGGGGAGGGAGAACAGGGGTTGCTTTGTTTTTAACTTCATCCAAGACTGACTTTTGTTTCTGGCCATTGAGTAGTTTTGTACAACTGCAAACCATAGACATAGTATTTTTTTTTTTTTTTAATTTTGAGACAGAGTCTTGCTTTGTCCCCAGGCTAGAGTGCAGTGGCACAATCTCGGCTCACTGCAACCTCCACCTCCCGGGTTCAAGTGATTCTCCTGCCTCAGCCTCTTGAGTAGCTGGGATTACAGGCGCCCACCACCATGCCAGACTAATTTTTGTATTTTTAGTAGAGATGGGGTTTCACCATGTTGACCAGGCTGGTCTTGAACTCCTGACCGCATGACCCGCCTGCTTTGGCCTCCCAAAGTGCTGGGATTACAGGCGTGAGCCACCGAGCCCGGCCGATATAGATTTTAAAACTGCAAGAGACTTTAAGGTCATCAAATCCAACCCCTTCATTTACAAACAGGAAAAGGAATGTCCAGAAAGATTAATGTTACCAGCCATACTGGATTCAAGGGAAAAAAAGGATTAATTGCACATACTCACTGTCACAGAGCATGTAGGGGCAAGTATTTGATTAGTTTTGTTTGGTTTTGTTTGGTTTTGTTTTTGAGACAGAGTCTCGCTCTGTCGCCCAGGCTGGAGTGCAGTGGTGTGATCTTGGCTCACTGCAACCTCCACCTCCTGGATTCAAGCGATTGTCTTGCCTCCACCTCCTGAGTAACTGGGACTACAGGTGTGCACCACCACACCTGGCTAATTTTTGTATTTTTAGTAGAGACAGGGTTTCACCATATTGGCCAGGATGGTCTCGATCTCTTGACCTCGTGATCTGCCTGTCTCGGCCTCCCAAAGTGCTGGGATTATAGACATGAGCCCAGCCTAGATCAGTATTATACAAACATGCTGTTATGGAAATCAAGGCAAACATGGTTTTGAAGTTGTATCACTTCTAAGTAAAAGGATATTTTTACATATATGTGTGCTTGCTTAGAAAAAAACAGTAGATGGTATAAAACTTAATAATCAAATACATTTTGGTAAAATCTAGATTAACCAGAATGCTTAAGGAATTTAATCGAGTTTCTTTCTCCTCTGCTTCTCTGGCAGATTCTGATTTTAGATGAAGCCACAGCTGCCATGGACACAGAGACAGACTTATTGATTCAAGAGACCATCAGAGAAGCATTTGCAGACTGTACCATGCTGACCATTGCCCATCGCCTGCACACGGTTCTAGGCTCCGATAGGATTATGGTGCTGGCCCAGGGACAGGTACCGAGTCCTTCAGGGACTTTGGCTTGGCATATCTGGGAGGAAACTGGCTCCTGGCAGGGATGGACTGATTGCCATCTTTGTAGCGTTCTGGGCATTCAGATAAGCACTTGCAGCAACTCTATTTAGTTGCTATTGGGAGAGATGCAGCCTCCTAATCACAAGATTACTCAGGCACACTCTGATGGGGTTCTCAGTTTACTTTACTATTTGTCCTTTTGTTGCTTGTGAGTAATGACACTTTGACTTAAGTCAGAGAGTACATGTACTTAGTGATTCATTCACATACACAGTGATCACCCCTGGCATACTTGGGCCAGAGATTATAGATACTTAGTGATTCATTCACATACACAGTGATCACCCCTGGCATACTTGGGCCAGAGATTATAGATACTTAGTGATTCATTCGCATACACAGTGATCACCCCTGGCATACTTGGGCCAGAGATTATAGATACTTAGTGATTCATTCACATACACAATTATCCCTGGTATATGTACTCAGTGACTCATTCACATCCACAGTGATCATCCCTGGCATACTTGGGCCAGAGAGTATAGATACTCAGTGACTCATTCACATCCACAGTGATCACCCCCACAGAGGCCTATTGAGACCAGCCAGCACATGTTTGCTTTTTTGCAATCACGTAGCAGCGCCAAACTTCTTACCCTGTTGTTTCAGGCGTTCCCACAGCCTGGCCCTAGCCTTGCCTTCTTCATTTTCCACTCTTCCCTTACAGGCGCCATTGGCTATGGACATCTTGCATTCTCCAAGCTTTTTATTTGTCTTTACTCAGACAGTTCCATCTACCTAAAAGGCCCTTTGCCCTTCTCTCCCCCATATCCACCTGCTCACAACTTGCCTGTCCCTGAAGAATGACATGGCCCAGATGCCAAAGCCTCCATGAAACCCCCTGGCTGCCTCAGCTGCCCTAGGCTGTATCTGTACCTCTCTTGTAGCTCTTCTGCCTCAGCTGATAGGAATTGTGCAATGCCCTGTCTCCCTAGAAAACTCCCTGAACGCTCTCTGAGGGCAGAGTCACCGCTCATTCATCTTTAGGGCCCAGCAGTGTTTAGCACTACAGTTCTTTGCACAGGTGATGTTAAGTACATTTATGTTAGACAAATACCTCCTTTGTGTGCCCCTAGGATAAAAGTAAATTAATAATTTGGAGGAAATAGCAAGACATTTATAATGGGTAACATGTCTTCTATTGTAGAAGCTACCACAGCAACAGCTACTATAATGGCTACTTCTATTGAATGTTTACTGTGTATCAGGCACTGTGCTTAGTGCTTTACATATAATCTCTCAAAATTCAGTCAGTCATCACAACAACCTAGAGAGAGACATAGCATGAATTCTACTTTACAGATGAGGAGACAGAGTCTCAGGGAAAGTGGAAGTCTCATAGGAAGTGGAGTAGGCCGGGTGCAGTGGCTCACGCCTGTAATCCCAGCAGTTTGGGAGGCCGAGGTGGACAGATTGCCTGAGCTCAGGTGTTCGAGAGCAGCCTGGGCAACATGGCGAAACCCCGTCTCTACCAAAAATACAAAAAATTAGCCAGGCATGGTGGCACACACCTTGTGCCTGTAATCCCAGCTACTAAGGAATTTGAGGTGGAAGGATCATTTAACCCTGGGAGGCAGCGGAGGTTGCAGTGATTCGAGATAGTGCCACTGCATTGCAGCCTGGGTGACAGAGTGAGACCATCTCCAAAAAAAAAAAAAAAAAAAAAAAGCAAACAATAAAAATTGGTAGGATTTTAAAAAAGGAAGTGAAGGAGATGGGACAGGACTCAGGCCAGCAACCCCACTGCCAGCACACTGTCTAAATTGTGGAGAAATATTGAGAAAAGTATTAAATAGGGCAGGTTCAGCCTGGGCTTCAAAGCTGAATTGAGAGAACTTGGGGGCTAAGGATTTTTCTCCTCATCTTGAAATTATTTTCACACTAATGTTTTTTGTGACTATCTTTGTTTGCCTTAAACTAAGTGTTTACTGAGATTCTGTCATACATAAGATATATTGAGCTACTACTTTGTACATAAGTGTTAAAATAGAGCCTAGTAAGGTATAATAGATGGGACCAAGAACATCTGGGAAATTCTTTTTTTTGAGCCAGAGTCTCGTTCTGTTGCCCAGGCTGGAGTATAGTGATGTAATCTTGACTCACTGCAGCCTCCGCCTCCAGGGTTCAAGTGATCCTCCTGCCTCAGTCTCCCGAGCAGCTGGGATTACAGGCATGTGCCACCATGCTTGGCTAATTTTTGTATTTTTAGTAGAGACAGGGTTTCACCATGTTGGCCAGGATGGTCTTAAACTCCTGACCTCAGGTGATCCACCCACCTCGGCCTCCCAAAGTGCTGGGATTACAGGCACAAGCCACCGTGCCCAGCCAGAAATTCTTTCTTAAGAACACAAATTGAGATCCCTTCTTTCTATAGTTGGCTTGATGTTTTGGAGTGGGGAGCCGATTCACACTTTATGAGAGACTCTATCCTTCTTTTTCCTTAATTTTTTTCTTGCTAATTAAAATTTCCTTGTAATTTTAGGAAAGCCTAAAAAACAAAAACAAAAACACCAAAAAAGTATAAAGGCAAAAACAGGATGGTAAGCCATTTGCCCCCAGAGATGAGCATTGTAGTACACTGACTTACCCCGTGTTTTTCATGCATCTGCACACACAGACTCCAACAGATGGGATGCTCTCTGCTGTAGACACAAAATACCAGACTAAAAGGGGTTTGGAGGATAGGATTTTGTTATCCCACATGGCAAACGGGAGGGCAGAGGGTTGGTTTTTGTGCAGCCCAGCAGTGTGGGGCTCTGCGTCACTCTCAACCAGTACTCATCTTCCCCTGCTGGTACAGGATGCCTGCTCAAGCCCCCAACCAAAGGAAGGACATGTGTCCAAAGAAAGGACATGTTCACGTTCTCCTCGTGGCCTGTCCACTGGGCAGGACACCCTCTCCTAGAAGCACCAAGGAGACTTCCTCTTACATCTCCTTAACCAAGGTTATGTTCCATGCCTTTGCCCTGTGGCGGGGGAGGCTGAGATAGTTGGGTATATGCATTTCAGCCTCTGCCACAGGAGGTGGGTTCTGCCAGCATATCATTCGGGGTTCTGCTGCACGTGATTTTCCGTGGCTGCATAGATGTCCATCATAGGAATGGCCACTTGACTAAGTCACTCCCTGACTTCCTTTTTTTTCCCTGACAACTAGACATTCTGAGCTCTTCCATTTCCCTCTATAGGGTTAGATCAGCTTGTATAACAAAATGACATTTGTCTGGTGTGCCCTTGACTTCAGCTGCAACTTCTCTCCCCTGCAGTTTATTTAATTTAATTTTATTTATTTATTTATTTATTTTTGAGACTGAGTTTCGCTGTTGTTGCCCAGGCTTAAATGCAATGGCATGATCTCTGCTCACTGCAGCCTCCGCCTCCCAGGTTCAAGCAATTCTCCTGCCTCACACTCCCCAGTAGCTGGGATTATAGGCATGTGCCACCACGCCCAGCTGATTTTTGTATTTTTACTAGAGACAGGGTTTCACCATGTTGGTCAGGCTGGTCTCGAACTCCTGACCTCAGGTGATGCGCCTGCCTCGGCCTCCCAAAGTGCTGGTATTACAGGCATGAGCCACCGCACCCAGCCTGTTGTTTTTTATTTTATTTTGTTTTACTTTTTTGAGATAGTCTCATTCTGTTGCCCAGATTAGCGTGCAGCAGTACAGTGTCAGCTCACTGCAACCTCTACCTCCTGCATTCAAGTGATTCTCCTGCCTCAGCCTCCCAAGTCGCTGGGATTATAGGCGCCCACCACCATGCCAGGATAATTTTTGAATATTTAGTGGAGACAGGGTTTCACCATGTTAGCCAGGCTGGTCTTGAACTCCTGACCTCAGGCGATCCGCCCGCCTCAGCCTCCCAAAGTGATGAGATTACAGGTGTGAGCCACCAGCTTCCTGCAGTTTATAGACCTGGTTGGTTGGTTCCTTTGCTCCCAAGGCTGAAGGAATTTGGTTTTATGTGAAGGAGGTCTGGAGGTCGTTTTCTCTCTTTTTTTTTTTTTTTTTTTTTTTGCTATGAGAATACTTTATTAGGCAAAACCGCATACTGTAAAAATGCTGGAAGTCGTTTTCTCTGTCCTTTCCCTTACACCCTGGATAGTTGAAAATAAAAAAATAAGCAGGGAGGTGCACTCAGGGCTTGTTGAATTGTCCCCAGATTCTACCCTCGGGGGCATTGGGACTTCCCTCCCTTCCTGAGCAGTGGATCCTCTGAATCACCCTGCATGACCCAGAGCTGCGTCCTGACGGCATCTCCTTCTTTTGCAGGTGGTGGAGTTTGACACCCCATCGGTCCTTCTGTCCAACGACAGTTCCCGATTCTATGCCATGTTTGCTGCTGCAGAGAACAAGGTCGCTGTCAAGGGCTGACTCCTCCCTGTTGACACAGTCTCTTTTCTTTAGAGCATTGCCATTCCCTGCCTGGGGCGGGCCCCTCATCGCGTCCTCCTACGGAAACCTTGCCTTTCTCGATTTTATCTTTCGCACAGCAGTTCCGGATTGGCTTGTGTGTTTCACTTTTAGGGAGAGTCATATTTTGATTATTGTATTTATTCCATATTCATGTAAACAAAATTTAGTTTTTGTTCTTAATTGCACTCTAAAAGGTTCAGGGAACCGTTATTATAATTGTATCAGAGGCCTATAATGAAGCTTTATACGTGTAGCTATATCTATATATAATTCTGTACATAGCCTATATTTACAGTGAAAATGTAAGCTGTTTATTTTATATTAAAATAAGCACTGTGCTAATAACAGTGCATATTCCTTTCTATCATTTTTGTACAGTTTGCTGTACTAGAGATCTGGTTTTGCTATTAGACTGTAGGAAGGGTAGCATTTCATTCTTCTCTAGCTGGTGGTTTCACGGTGCCAGGTTTTCTGGGTGTCCAAAGGAAGACGTGTGGCAACAGTGGGCCCTCCGACAGCCCCCTCTGCCACCTCCCCATGGCCACTCCGGGGTGGGTGGAGCGGGCTGGGCAGCTGGAGACCATGCAGAGCGCCGTGAGTTCTCAGGGCTCCTGCCTTCTGTCCTGGTGTCACTTACTGTTTCTGTCAGGAGAGCAGCGGGGCGAAGCCCGGGCCCCTTTTCACTCCCTCCATTGGGAATGGGAATCACAGAGACATTCCTCCGAGCCAGGGAGTTTCTTTCCTGCCTTTTGTTGTTTCTAAACAAGAATCAGTCTATCCACAGAGAGTCCCACTGCCTCAGGTTCCTACAGCTGGCCACTGCACAGAGCTCTCCAGCTCCAAGACCTGTTGGTTCCAAGCCCCGGAGCCAACTGCTGCTTTTTGAGGTGGCGCTTTTTCATTTGCCTCTTCCCACACCTCCACAGTTCAGTGGCAGGGCTCAGGATTCCGTGGGTCTGTTTTCCTTTCTCACCGCAGTTGTCGCACAGTCTCTCTCTCTCTCCCCCCAAAGTCTGCAACTTGAAGCAGCTCTTGCTAATCAGTGTCTCACACTGGCGTAGAAGTTTTTGTACTGTAAAGAGACCTACCTCAGGTTGCTGGTTGCTGTGTGGTTTGGTGTGTTCCCGCAAACCCCCTTTGTGCTGTGGGGCTGGTAGCTCAGGTGGGCGTGGTCACTGCTGTCATCAGTTGAGTGGTCAGCGTTGCATGTCGTGACCAACTAGACATTCTGTCGCCTTAGCATGTTTGCTGAACACCTTGTGGAAGCAAAAATCTGAAAATGTGAATAAAATTATTTTGGATTTTGTAAAACTTCGTGTATCAAACAGTTCTCTGGGAAGGGAGTGAGATATCCTGGAATGGCTTTGGGACCTGGATATCCAGCGATGGAGTTGCATCTGGGAAGGGCTGGTAGCAAAACTGGTTGGTTGCAAGGGCCATGGGGCCCTGAACGCCTGGAATCATCTCTGTGGGCCTTAGTCCCGCCACCTGTGTTCCTGGGCATGGTCCCCAAATAAAGCTCCTTGGCTGCCCATAAGAGGGTGGGGAGTGGAAAGGTGAGTGGTTGTGATGAGATGTATTTAAAATGAATAGTTTAGGCCGGGCGCGGTGGCTCAAGCCTGTAATCCCAGCACTTTGGGAGGCCGAGACGGGCGGATCACGAGGTCAGGAGATCGAGACCATCCTGGCGAACACGGTGAAACCCCATCTCTACTAAAAATACAAAAAACTAGCCGGGCGAGGTGGCGGGCACCTGTAGTCCCAGCTACTCCGGAGGCTGAGGCAGGAGAATGGCGTAAACCCGGGAGGCGGAGCTTGCAGTGAGCTGAGATCCGGCCACTGCACTCCAGCCTGGGCGACAGAGCCAGACTCCGTCTCAAAAAAAATAAATAAATAAAAAATAAAATAAAATAAAATAAAATAAAATGAATAGTTTGTCAAGGATTCTTAGCAATTCAAACAGTATAATTACCCTTTCAGCCAATTCATTCAGATTCACCCACTGAAAATTAGTAACCCTGTCTCTACTCAAAATACAAAAATTAGCTGGGCATGGTGGTGGGCGCCTGTAGTCCTAGCTACTCGGAAGGCTGAGGCAGGAGAATCACTTGAACTCAGGAGGTGGAGGTTGCAGTGAGCTGAGATTGCGGCGTTGCACACTAGCCTGGGCAACGGAGTGAGACTCTGTCTCAAAAAAAAAAAAAAAAAAAAAAAGGTGCAGTGGCTCACGCCTGTAATCCCAGCACTTTGGGAGGCTGAGGCGGGTGGATCACGAGGTCAGGAGATCAAGACCATCCTAGCTAACATGGTGAAACCCCCTGTCTACTAAAAACACAAAAAATTAGCTGGCCATGGTGGTGGGCACCTGTAGTCCCAGCTACTCAGGAGGCTGAGGCAGGAGAATGGCATGAACCCAGGAGGCGAAGCTTGCAGTGAGCCGAGATGGTGCCACTGCACTGCAGCCTGGGCGACAGAGCGAGACTCCATCTCAAAAAAAAAAAAAGGTACGCATTCTAAAATTTCTGACTATATTGTGTTGAATGCAGCCAAGAAAGCTTTTAAACTGGTATTGGTTCATTAACCATCAGTAGAAATTATACAAATTTTTCTAAAGTACCTGTGCTGGCGTGAGAACCCAGGGGCTTGACTCTAAAGTTAAACATCTGGTTCCTCGGGTGTCACATTTCAAGCACTCAGTAGCTGTATGCGACCTGTACAACATAGTAATGTACAGTGCAGATACATAGGATGTGTCTATCGTTGCAGGAAGTTCTGTTGGGCAGCACCAATCTAAACGGTAACCACTTTTACTGAGGCACTAGATTTATCTTCCAAGAATGTAACAAGGTCAGCAGAACGAGACCCTTCAAAGTGCTGGGATTACAGGCATGAGCCACTATGCCCAGCCTAAATTGAATTTTTAAAAGCAATTTCCGTATCGCCATTTTGTGTTTTCCCAGCTCATAATTCTCTGTTGCCAAGTAGAGTAGCCTAACAGCTGTAAGAAACAAGCCCAGACGTTCAGCAGTTTACCACAGTCACCAAACTCCTGTAGCAAAGCAGTGTGGTCTGTGGAGGGGTGAATGAAGGTTCTGCCTGTGCGTTCAGGAACCCAGGCTCCCTCCCTCCTGGTCACCCCGCAACCTCTAGATTTGAGCTTCTCTGCTGGATCCACGGTGCTGATCAGAGAAGAGAACACAGAATGTTGAGCAGAAAGGGTTATGAGCCAGGTCTGAAAACAGTAGACATTGCTTCTGTATTCGTTTTCTTGGCTAGAACTCAGGGTCAGGGGCACCTGTATGCTAAGCACTATACGAGGTACTTTTAGCATATGGGCCTTACCTGATTTTCTCAGCCACTTTACAAGGTAGCTCTAATTAAGCACATTTTCCAGATGAGGAGAGGCTCATGAAGATGTAAGTTGTCTCAAGCCAATATGCAGTATGAAGTGAGTCACACAGACTTCAAACCCAAACAGCATGCTCCCAGAGTTCAGGCTGTTCCTCATCTCATGACCTGAGCTTCCATTTCATCAGCAAATTCAGTTTCATCAAATGCATGTGCTAGATTAGATGGCCTCTAAGGTTTCTTCCAGCTCTAACTCCATGACTAGTGTGAGTCCGTAAATAGGACCTGAAAAACCTGGATCCTGCTCACCTCATTTAGGACATGGCTCTAGAACTCTGCCTCTTCCTCTTTGCCTCCACGAGGGAGGTGGTGTGTACTGGGAGCAGATTTCCTCTTTTCCTGGAATCTTCTCTGTGTCCTGTTTCTTTCTGCCAGTGGCCTGAATTCAGCATTATTCCTTGGCTCAGGGAAGCTCCCTTCTACCCGCTCAGGTGGACCCAGGTTAGTAGGACTAAGCTGGTTGCTGTCCAAGTGAGAACCATCAGAGCTAGTACTTCGTCTCCCACAGTCCTGGCACAGCCCTGTTCTCAAAGGGGAGCTCCATGCCCAGCTAGGACTGACCAGTGCCAGGCAGTTAGGACCATGGGCACACACCTGTTGGAGCAGAGACACTGACACTGCCTGGAATGGTTGGTACACAGGGCTAAGGGCTGGGGGAGACTTCTCTGACTCATTTTTTGTGTCCTTGACAAATCTGGTGGGCTGCAGTCCTCGGGCCATTCTGACCACTGGTGAGAAAAAAGGTGCCATGAGGCCCACTCTGGGAGTCTCCCCCTGATGTCATTCCCATGGGCCTCTGAGAGTGACCTGCCCTCCGGGAACTTTAGCTCCCCACTTCTCCTTCCAGACTTACTGATCCAACCTCCTCTTCCCTCACAGCCTCCCAATACCTGGACTCCAGCCCCCTCGGGCTCTTTTCCCAAAAACTATTTATTGAACATTCACTAGGTCCCATACCTTCTGCTGGGCACAGGAGACCAGAAACAGACACAGGGAGCTTATAGTCCAAACGAGAAGAGAAACTTTAAGTAACTTGCTCACTTTTTCTCACCGTTTCTCCTCCTCTGAGTTTCTCAGTCATGACCTAGGAATCCAGGGATGGCACCTGGCCAGTTCTGCCCTGGGTCACTCAGAGACACCCTTTCTCTCTTGTCCTTGGTATTCCCTACCTCCGATCTCCCTTCCTTACCTAGAATGTGGTAAGATCTAAAGGGCCAATGTAATAAGGATGTGGACCCGGGGCTGGTACCAAGGAAGTTTCTGGGCCTTGGGCCACTTCTCCAGCCACAGGAGTCCTCAGGCACCAGACTCTCCGGACTAGCCCACCACGCTGCCTCACGGCACCAAAGGTGTGAAGTCATCAACAGAAGGGTTTTGTTAGAGCGGCCTCTGTGTGTATTTCCTCTGGGATCCTGTCAGCTGATCAAAAATACAGGGGCTGGATCCCAGCCACCGACCATTTGATACCATCACTGGCATTCATACTTAGATAAGCAAAACAATGTTTGGCTAAGAGAAGTGACACCTTGGGAACATACATGCCATCCCTCCATGCCTACGTATGGTCGGGTTCTACCCCTCAATCCCCACCGAGCCATGTTGTACTCGGAGAAAGACTACCACTCCTTCACTTTCAATACCCTTGGTGAGTCCTGGAATAACTCTCAGAAATGGGCACACGAAAAAAGCTGCTTCTTCATCTTCCATAAAATCTCTGTTGGCAGGCCGGGCGCGGTGGCTCACGCCTGTAATCCCAGCACTTGGGAGGCCAAGGTGGGCGGATCATGAGGTCAGGAGTTCGAGACCAGCCTGGCCAACATGGTGAAACTCTGTCTCTACTAAAAATACAAAAATACAAAAATTAGCTGGGCATGGTAGCAGGCGCCTCTAATCCCAGCTATTCAGGAGGCTGAGGCAGGAGAATCACTGGAAAATAGAGGTTGCAGTGAGCCAGTTGCACCACTGCACTTCAGCCTGGGCAACAAGAGTGAAACTCTGTCTCAAAAACAAACAAAAAAAATCTCTGTTGGCATTTGTGTCCACATAAGAAATCCCTTTCAGAATCTGATCTCGGGGCCAGGCACGGTGGCTCACGCCTGTAATCCCAGCACTTTGGGAGGCCAAGCCGGGCGGATCACGAGGTCAGGAGCTCAAGACCACTGTGAAACCCCATCTCTACTAAAAAACACACAAAAAAATTAGCCGGGCGTGGTGGTGGCGCCTGTAGTCCCAGCTACCCGGGAGGCTGAGGCAGGGGAATGGCGTGAACCTGGGAGGCGGAGCTTGCGGTGAGCTGAGATCGCGCCACTGCACTCCAGCCCAGGCGACAGAGCGAGACCCTGTCTCAAAAAACAAAACAAAACAAAACAAAAACCAGAATCTGATCTCGGGAAAATTCTCTGCTTCTCGGTGAGGATTCTAGAACACATTGTTCCCCCCTTCTTATTTTAGCTGACAGGAAGCTCAGGGCCCTGTATGTTTATCTCAGCTTGTTTCCCTCATCCTTCGTAACATTTTGATCTTTCCTTTTGACTGTCTTGAATATTTTTTTTTTTATTTATTTTTTGAAACGGAGTCTTGCTCTGTCACCCAGGCCGGAGTGCAGTGGCACGATCCCAGCTCACTGCAACTTCCGCCTCCCAGGTTCAAGCAATTCTGCTTCAGCCTCCAGTGTAGCTGGGATTACAGGCACGTGCCACCACACCTGGCTAATTTCCATATCTTTAGTAGAGATGGGATTTTGCCATGTTGGCCAGGCTGGTCTCGAACTCCTGACCTCAGGTGATCCACCTGCCTCGGCCTCCCAAAGTGCTGGGATTACAGGCATGAGTCACCGTGCCCAGCCTTATTCATTTTTATTATTTTAAATAATAGCTGCCATGAATCATCCTCGGATAAGATGA